ACTTTAGTTTGATATGAAAGATCTTTTGTCAACTTTTCAACCTGTTCTTTCAAATTCTTGTTATATTTGCTTAACATTATCACTTGCTTTTTTGCAACCTTGGACCGAATTTTCACTAGTTTTGGATCTATCATCTCTTCTGCCATGCTTTCCATCTGATGTATAAGTTCCTTGTTCTGTGAGAATAAAGCTTTTACCTTTTCTCTATCTGAAGTTATTTTCTCCATGAAAACCTTCTGGGGATCTTTCTCCAGTTGAAGCTCCTTCATCCTTTTTTCATATTTTTTGCTTAACGCTTTTTCAGCCTTAATTTTTTTTGCCTTATCAGGGTAATGCATTGTTTCAGAGAAACTCTTTTCAAGTTGTTCATTCAGTTCAGATAGTTCTTGAATTTTTCTTTTGTTCTTCTCACGCATTTGTTGTAGTTGAGAAAGATTAAAAATCTTACTCCAGCGAAACATTTTGAGATTTTTCTTGTACGTTAAAACCAAAAAATCTCTGAGCAGAAAATACCAACCACACTGATCCGAAATCCCAGCTTGTATGACTCAGAGATTCTATAGAAGCTATAAATAGAATGATGATGTCATCAAGGCAGGGGGGGATGTACCATTAGGCAATACTAGGCAGCTGCCTAGGGCCCCAAGTTCCTGGGGGCCCCATAGAACTCTGTTAAATAATAGTATGATTAATACAACTATTCCTTATTTGTGCACATTAATTACATTTTTTTATAAAAATCCTTTGGCTAAAATGCCATTAGAACACTTATGATATTAAGTGTGTCTCAGCCCCCCCCCTTCAGTGTCCACAATATTGGATCAGTCCATTTGCTGCACATGTTCAGAAATGTCCAAACAGACAGCAGCAAACCATTTGAAAACAAATGATGCAAAGAGCAGTGTTGCCAACTTAGCGCTTTAATCGCTATATTTAGCCACTTTTCAGACCCCTCTAGCACTTTGATTTCTAAAAAGCTCCTAGCGCCAAATCTAGCGACTTTTTTCTGCTACTGGAGACTTTGGAGACAACATCTAAAAGCAGCGAACTCTGCTCTCCAGAGCGAGTAGATTGGTAACCCCGCCTCCTGCTCTCCTCTATCTTGTCTGCTGTCATGATTCATGCAGCTATTATTTCATCCAAATGAAAAATGGAGAACAGATAAGCAGATCATGGCTTGTCTACAGTGAAATGAAGGACTGGGTTATATACTTTTGCCTTTTTGGAAACACAGGAAGGAGCAATCAGCTAAGTGAGCTTAGTGCTTGGAAAAAATCTTTCATTCCTTTAGAGACAGCATGAAAAGTCTGCTGAGTACAAAACATAGAGAGGAAAACGAAAAGAAAAGGGACAAGAAGAGAGGGACAAAACCTAGAACAGATAATGGATGTCTATTCTATTAACATTTCTACATCTGTAGAATGGGTCTGTTTTATGTGTTGTCTTCTCAGTTCAGAGGGACCCCTGCCTGTTTTTGCCTAGGGCCCCAGATTTCCTAAATCCGCCCCTGCATCAAGGAAAATTTCTTTATGACATAGATTTTTTCTTTTTCTTTACGATGATGTCATCAAGGAAAAGTTCTTTATGACATAGATTTTTTTTTGTATGATGATGTCATCAAGGAAAAGTTCTTTGTGACAGATTTTTTTTTTTTTTTTAACAGTGTCCTGTCTGGCAATGTGGCAATAAGAATAATTGTCTTGATGCCAAAAAGAGCCCAACATGTTTTACTTTCAGAAGTGGAGCAGTATGGCAGTTGCCATATTGTTCCACTTGTTTCATATATATAAATTGCTTAATTTTAATTATGCAGGGAGTTTTACAGATTATATGGACATATGGAGCGATAGTTCAAGATGTTGCTTTATTGTATGTCTCGTACCATGTCTTTCGGTTGTGCTGTTCTTTTTTCATCTCGTTACAGGTGATGAAGCAGACTGAAATGTTTTGTCATTATCTCCTTTCTATCTCCTCTTTCTTTCATCTTTTCTCCTTTTCTTCTTCTGTTTTTCTGGTCTATTTACATTGCAGTGTCCATATAAACTGTAAAACTCCCTGTAAAAGTGAGGTGGATGTTAATAAGAAAATGTCAAAGAACATCTTTTATTCCTTTTTTGTAATATTCAGTAATTGAGAATTAACTTTTCTAAAAAGAAAAAAAAAAAACTAAAAAGAAATACAGTGGCTGTTAAACTCCAGGTTTTAATGAAAAGAAAAACCATTTTTAAAAAGGTCAAATTCTTTAACAAACAGATTTAAGAAGATTTTAATTTGTCTGATATATTTCCAAAAAGCACACATCTACATCAAAGACGTCTGCTAAAACAGCTTGAAATGTCTCTTCAGTCACAGGTCCTTAAATGCACAAAATTGTGCACTTTATAATTAAAGTTGTTCCCTTACAGTGAGAAAAAGTTGTTGTGAAAAGAGACAGACATACTGAATTATCAGATTAAGGGATTATTAAATAATTAAATGAAAGTATGTATTTAGTGCATATAGTTTGTGGAGCTTCTTTTCATAGTTTCATGAATTACCTTATTTCATGATTACCGGTACATTGAATTTATATATATATATATATATATATATATATATATATATCAAGAAAATGCTTTTAAACTACTATAGGTACAAAGACACAATTGCCTTCTGTGTTAATGCTTTCCTATAAATTATTAATTTTTTGTCTAAGCAATTTCTTTGTTTTGAATTCATACAGTATTGTCTTCAGAGACCTCCTTTTTTATGAGTTTTGCTGTTATTATAACATATTTTCTAACATCTAGGGCATTCAAAGAGCAGCTTTTTAATGAATCAGTCTATTTACGTGGGATTTTTGTGAAGTAAAATGTTTGTATTAGATTTTATTTATGGGAATTAAATGGTAAACAAATGCAAGTGTGTATTAAAGAAAAAAAAAGTCAAACAAAAAAAATTTTTTTTATTGTCATATGCTGTAACAAGTACAGAACAACAAAATGAAATCTCTGCATTTAACCCATCCCCTTGGGAAGCATTGGGCTTCCATTGTGCGGTGCACAGGGAGCCAGAGTGGCAGTCTGTGGGAGTGGGGCTTGAACTCAGAACCTTGGGATTCCAAGCACTATGCCCTAGCCACTAGGCCGCCACTCCCTTCATATTAGGTAATAATTTCATGAAGTGCAAAGGATATGTGGCCTAAGGAAACTCAGACCTTGTTGTTTATTACTTTTCTCCAATTTTTCCAGCACTAAATGTACAAGAACAATGCCAAGGAAGTCCAAAGTCATGTTAAATCTACCTTCTTAAAAAACACTGATGCTGTCAGTGTAAAATGTGCAATGAAGACTGACGCAGAGGATGGCAATTCCCCATGTGTCATTACTTGATGATTGAAGGGTGTCAAAAACATGCCTAGTTTAACTAGAAGCAACACATCAAATAGATGATAATTTTCTTTACCCTCATTATGATGTTAAGGTTCACTGGAACATTTACCAGCTGTCACTGGCTGAGAGGCAGGGGGCATCGTTGAAACATCTTATGCAAAATGCAATTTTTAATATTAGACATGATTTGTTCAGACTTAATTTGTTACCCTGCGATGGACTGGCGACTGTCCAGGGTGTGCCTCGCCTCTCGCCCGTAGACAGCTGGAGATAGGCACCAGCAACCCTCGTGACCCCGCTTGGGATAAGCGTGACAGAGGATAGATGGATGGAAGTAATTTGTTATGGTACAAATATAACTCAACCCTGTGTTTCAGTGTGAAGCTCCTTTATAGCCACGAATCCCAAATAACAGTTTTGATAATAGACCAGTTTTATACTCTAAGCTTATTGTCTTTTGTGTTTAAACATTTGCACATTAAAGCACAGAACATGATTCAAGAGCCTACAGTGCCCAATAAAAAGATTACTGGCTTAACTGAAAGTTTAAAAAGTCATACTTATAATTAGGATTTAAACCAACTTGTGGTTCTGATGCAATAAGCCCACCCTGCAACATATGAGGCCACTGGTGGTCTTCAACCTGATTACTAGAAAGAACCATTACCAAATCTCACAAATATACTTTAGAAAAGACCAATATTGTACAGCCAACACAAAATAACAATTTAAACCTCAGTGAAAAGCGTTTTCTTTTTTTTTTTTTGGGTGACTGCTAATTATTTACCTATCAGACAGGAAATTGGCAAAGATGAGTGGGAAGAAATAAACAAAAGTTACTAGCAGCTGAGAATCCAAAACAAGTATGATTCCCCATGGACTAATACTCCATATATCATAGTGTATATGGGGTGATCAGTCTATTGCTGAGATACAGTATGCTCCGCCATGTGATCCCTCACATGGCGGATGTGAATTCTGAGGAAAGGTAATGGTTCAAATCAATTGACAGGTTTGTCTTTCTGCTTGCATAATTGTTATTCGCATTGGTGAAACTGCAGAAGACATTGATTTACAGTACCTGAAAAAGGACTAACGAGCCATTGTTTTGTGTAATGAATGTTTGAGAATGATGCATAAGGGCCTACACATGCACAGCCACTAATGGGTCTTGGTGACAGAGGGTGGGGCAGAGCTGGTTCCTCAATATTTATGATTATTTTTATTTAACTGAAAAAAATGTTACTCTTTGTAAGCAGCCAAAATTCAGTTTGAAGTCAAAATACCATTAGGATTGAAAGTCAATAAAGTGAAAGGAAGCCATGTCAATTCCTTAATTCTCTGACTGTGTTCTACAGGGCTTCCTAAAGGCTAAATATCTTGCTTTTATGCATTAGAAGTGTCTCAGTCCTTTCCCTGTCAAATCCTTGCAGCTAGGGCATAACCTGACAACCTTCAGCTCCAGTTAATATAAAAAGTTTTCTTAGTGAGCCGGTGTACATAGTGAAAGGTCAACGCTGCTCTGCCCTGCATACGGTTTTACTACCTCAGTTTGCACCTGTCACAATAAAGAACATCGTTTTAAATAAAAAACTTCTGCACCTCACTTCCTGTCTTCTTTCCTTTCAGGCACAAGGCTGTTTTCAAGCACGTCTGGCTCCGTAGCATACAGGTAAGTTCAAATGTGGCCATACACATTATGGGGAAATGCTTCTTTAGGGTTTCAAAGCCGCAATGACCTTTATGGTCTTATAAAGAGGAGTGTGGAGAAGCAGCGGGCTGGGTCCACGGGTCGACCTGGCCTTTGTGGTGCTATAAAGAAGCCTTTGAGGGAATGTTGGAGCTGGTGTGTTGTGTAGTTTGCAGCAGTTGCAGATTCATGCTGGCATGTGTTTCAGTATATCGGAAGAAGAGCCTGGGCCTCTGCGGAGCGACACAGAGGGAAAAAACACCACAAAAGTCAGCCGGACATTCAGCTACCTCAAGAGCAAGATGTACAAGAAGACGCGGGTAAGCCTTAAAGTCGTATGGAAATCGTATTTAAATGTCAAAGCATTCTGGCTTAAACATGTATATAAATGTACTCTTTATCAGATTATATTGTCCCAAAATTTAGAAAATTTCTATAAAAAAAATCCTATCTTAAAATCTGTTTTTTTCCCCTTATCTTATGCATGCCAGTTAGTTATATGCTGAATAAGACCTTCCTGATAAAACAAAGACAATTGATCTAACAAGATGTTTTTATTTGATCAATTCTATATAAACAGGGGCAGAAATTGCAAGTTTTACTTCTTTTTCCTCGCTTTTATTAACAATATTGGTTATTACATGAATGAGTTATGAATGAATTAGTCATGGATAAATGGTTATGTTCTGTTTTATTGAATTAAATAAAGAAAGATAAATAAAAAGCAGAAATTTCAGGGTGTTCAGTTCAGAGTTTCTACACGAGGGAAGCTTCCAGAGTATTTTGTCTCATCCAAGCCCAGCTTGGCGACCTGCATCATTGCCCGCAAATTGTAACAGGACACCAACACCTTTCTCTGATTGGTTGTTGTCGAGCAGAAAAAGTTCAGATTTTCCTACTCAAGCACTTGCTTCTTGCAAAGAGTGTGATGTAGCAGCTAATATAGGAGCGGTTGAAATAAAAAATAAGAATCATTTCCTTTCCCATAGAGTTCCGTCCCAGTGTTCACGGGGATGGACGTCTGTGTCTTCATCAGGCGTAGAGCTAACAGAACTGGCAGCGTTGCGAGGCAAGGGCTCAAACATGTACGGCTGGAAGCCTTCTACACCAAACCAAGCTTCTACAGCCCTGGTGTCCTCTTCCACAACATCTTCCTCCCCGCTTTCCTCCTCTAAATAAAAAATGGATGACGGAGGAGACTCATCCATGACCTCCGACACTAAACTCTCCTCCTCTTGCATGTTTCCTCTGTCCATAGCGTTCCTTGACAGTGTCGTTTCTAAGTCACCAATTTAGTGCTACTTGATCCCAATGGAATTTTCCATTGGAAACCTACTAGCACTAAGTTGCTAACTGGTTAGCAAGATGCTTCCGACAAACCGGCCTCAACCAAACATGTTTGTGAACCTTCTGCCCCAACAATCCCGCCCCCTTGATAAACGACCAATCATATTCACTTTATTCACTCATGTAAAGTTGTGCACCACTCGGGAGAATTTGGAAATGCAAAGTTTGGAACTGCTGCTTCCCTGCGACTTTAAATGAATGCTCTACCTCACTGGAGGAGCTATTTTTAGAGTAAAGGCTGCCTCTCTGTGTGACCGTTCATCCCTTTAATTTGGTACCAGGGAGCACCAGGTTTCCTTTTGTGCTCACTCTCCTGCACTGTGATGCATCTGCATTCACACAGGGATCGTCCTCTCCTGCTAACCTCACTGCCGCTTCTCTAAACAGCTGGTAGTTACGTGTCGTGCTTCAGGGCTTGTAACTTCCTCTATTCAGACTTCCCCAGCAGGCCTGCTGTGGAGTTCACAATCCATTTATGGTCCCAAATATGTGTCTCTGTTATCAAATAAGTCTGAGTCTTTACCCTGGAGAGGATTAACTGCCAACATATAAATAATATCACCTATAGATTTTAGCAGATTTATTCAGAGCACATGAACTGTCCTGCCTTTTGTCACTTTATAACCATAAACTGCAAGTTTTTTTTAATTCATTGGGATTTTATTTCATTGAAAAACACAGCCCATAACTTTGGATTGGTAGGATTTACAGAAAATATTTTACAAATAATCTAAATCTAAAGAATTCAACAGATTTTTATTAGGGCTGCACTTGTCGATTAATTTAGTGATTGATCATTGTATGAATTATATTTTAAAGAAATCTGAAACGAGTTACATTAAAGGTGCCGTAGGAGATCGATTTGTTCATGTGTCAGGGGTACGCGCACAGGGGGAAGGACAAGCAGACGACCATGATTGACATGTCAGTGACCAATCGTGTACAACGGACCGTCTTTTGTGATTGGTTAAGGTTATTCATTGATGTCTCACTGTAGCGGGGACCATTTATTTTAGTTTCACTTCCAGACCTTCTATTTCACTGCTTGCTAAGCGGCTGTGGGGAGATCTTTCCTTTTCAGAAACCCAGATCTGGTCACCCTAGATATGCTAGCATTGCTATCAAAGGCTAAGCAACAAATTAATACTTCCAGCTTGCAGTTGTGATGGCCTTACGGTCAGAACAGCCCCTAGTTTCAGTAAAAGAAGTTAAGCAAATCCTGCTTTGAGCTGTCCAAGATTTTGAAGAAGGCTGTCTTCTGTAAGATTCTTTGAGAAAATGAACAGCTGAGCATCAAACTTTGCAGGGATCTTCTGATAGACAAAAATAATCTGTGCCTTTGGAGTCTTTGGATGCTTGGGAAGACTGTGGAAAATTTCCCCTTTCTCTGTGCAGCCTGGAACACTGCATTTACGCCCGTGGGTCTGGCTCATTTTCAATAGAGAAACTTCCTGCTTTGTAATTCTTGTAGAAGTAAACCCAACTGAAGAATAAACAGCATACTGGTGTCTTCCATCTACCTCTATTCATGTTCTTGGGTCGTGAACCAGTTGGCTAATCTCTATGTCAAAAGTACAGGCCAGAACCAAATAAGGCAACATCCCCTAATTTACATCAATTCGGTGCTTCATTTGGATTCTCCAGTTTTATGGTGGAAGTTCAGGATTGTAAGATTTGCAGAGCAAGAAAGTGTCGATGGGGTTTGAACTTCTCTGTACGTCCATTTCACCCACTGAACTATCGTTATTCATCAACTTAAACTCTGTTTTGCATTCTATGACCCCTTTAAAGGAAGGAGCGTTGAACCCTAAATAGGTTCATGGAAAAAGTTGAAATCCTCCACAGGAAGTGGTGTTTCTTGCTTCTGTCATGTATACATATAAAAATGATGTCATTATGATTTCTTCTAAGGCATGAACTTCCTGTTTCTCATATCTGAGTTGATCTGATTGAGTCATGAAACGGCACCTACGCGGGTTCAAATGTGCTGTTTGAAAGAAAGAGGTCCAGATTGGTTTTCCTGTTGTGGAAATAAAGCAGGCAGTTTTTAGTGATGTCTCTGTCTGACGGACGGCCCCCGCAGATAGACACTGAGTAGGGAACAGGAAGTAAAACAGGAAGACCAGACTCAGCGACCTTAAAAGAGATTTTCACAGCCTGTGATTGATAGTGATGAAGACATATCGTCCATACGCCATACCTCTGGTTTTAGTCCATTTTAACAGTCTGTGATATGATCTGTGGTTTCATAAGCAGTGCCGACCCCAGACAGACCATTCTGCACCGCAAAAACCCACGCGCAGTTGTTCTTTGACCGTTTTAAAACAAAAGTCTCTGAGCTCTGTTTTCTGCATGATACTGAAAGTGAGAAGGTTGTGGAAGAGGATCTAGTTATTGCAGACTGAAGGGACTGAAGGGCTGTTGCAGAAATAGCACCTCCTGTTGCGCTGCAGTCACTTCCTCTTTGCAGAGTTCCTGATGGAGCCTCAGCACTGGCTGTAGATTCTGCCCCTCGGCCAAAACAAGGGATGTTATACGGGAGGTTCTCAGGGAGCCGAGGCTTCTCGCTGAGAAGAAAAGGTTGCCCGGAGGTAGGCTCTGAGAATGCTCCGGTTTTCCAGTCACATTGCAGTAAAAGTTTAGTGGCTGCTGTCAGAAGATCATGTTTAAAGAGTTCAGTTCTGGGCTGCTGTCTTATTTCCAGTGAAGTCAGAGTTGGTTAGACTTTATTAAACTAGAATGTCTCTTTGTTTTTATCTGAGTTTTAGACGTCACAAGCTATTTTGTCTCCTGTGGAGGTTTCTTACAGCTAGAAAATGGCTCACATTCCTTTTTTTATTCCATTGTTTTCCTCCTCTTGTAAGATTCGTTTTTTGGAGGATTTTTTCTTTTTAGATTAAATGTATCTAAAAGTGGTTTGGATTTTCTCTCCCTTTTCTTGCCTTTAAATTTTGTTGAAATCTTTCGTTTGTGATCAGACGGTTGTTGCTGCAGGAAGTGAAAATGAATGCAGTGTGTTGAAATGGCTCCGTGAGCCTTTTGGCATCTTAAAACCGGGCAAAATGAGCCCCACTATGTCAGAGCTTTGTGGTCCTCACAAACCAAGAGGCCTGGGGCTGGCCCATTAAAACAAGCTGGAAAACTCCATTTTCCCATTTCCTCTGGGTTTGGGTGGAGGCTCTCTGATGCAAATCCAAGAGAATGAAAGCTCTGTTCTTGTCTGCATCACTTCATGGGATTCTGATTCACTTAAGAGTATGTGTGTGAATGATGACCAACTGCTGGGGATGAGCTTGTCCATCAATGCAGAAAGAGGAGCCTGTTGTGGAAAGGTCAGAGATGTGGGTCCCAGTCTGGGTGTCCACATAGCAACTACAGCTGTGTGTCATCTTGCTCCGTTACCAAGAGCATTTATTCAGGTTGAACATTTTTCCCATTTTGTTATTTAAAACACAAAATAATAACAGGGAGAATTACACAATAACATTTATTATTATCTATTAAGTCAGATAGAAAACTGAAAAACAAACACAAGGGAAGTTGTATTTAAATTTTAAATAATTCTGGCTTAAACATGTATATAAATGTACTCTTAATCAGACAATATTGACCCAAAAGTTAGAAAATTTCATATATTAACTGTCGTCTGTCGATCACATTTTTGTTGGTCATAGCATCTTGATTCATATGTCGCAGCTAATTTACGCAGTGGTTGAAATCAGAACAATTTCCTTTCCCATTGAGTTCCGTCCCAGTGTTCACGGGGATGGACGTCTGTGTCTTCAGCAGGCGTAGAGCTAACAGAACTGGCAGCGTTGCGAGGCAAGGGCTCAAACATGTACAGCTGTAAGCCTTCTACACCAAACCAAGCTTCTTTCACCCTGGCGTCCTCTTCCAAAACATCTTCGTCCCCGCTTTCCTCCTCTAAATAAAAAATGTATGATGGAGGAGACTCATCCACGACCTCCGACACAAAACTCTCCTCCTCTTGCATGTTTCCGCTGTCCATAGCGTTCCTTGACAGTCTTTTCTGTGTACCACAGTTTGAATCCAAATTGTTAAAAGCTCAACAGAAAACATAGCAAGGACGTGTTTGTAGACCTTAACCTATAGAGCAGGTAGGGAGAGTAGAAGCGGCTCCATCCCCACAGTGAAGCATGGAGGTTATGGTTTGTAAAATCTGAAAGGACTGGAAATATTCAGCAAAGAGGAATATTTAGTTTCTAGATGCACAGAGCTGATTGTGACACAACCCAACCGGACGTTCAGCTTTCAATGGTACAGAAAGTCTGTCTGCAAGTAATAACTTAGACTAAATAAATGTGCTTACAGACGCTTACAGATGTTTAATTTGAAAAACTGTTATTGTTTTTCTTCTTCTGTAAATTTTTTATCCACTTTATGTCAATCTATCTCATAAAATCAGAGTAAAAACATACTTTTGAAGAGGTAGGAATTTAGAAACATCAATAAATATGACTTTCTGTTTCCCACATGGTCTAACTATTTCTAATGGAAGTTATTAAAGAGTAATATTAGTCATAGATAATCTTGTCCTGTGCGTCCAGCTTCTGTACAATTCCAAAATGTTAGATCCAGACTTTTTGTTTAATTGCTGAAACAATTAATCAGTCACAGAGAAATACGATAATTTTAACTGTTCTTTAATGAGATGCTGTGTTGTGTGCATAAGACTGCATCAGTTATTATGCAACCCCTCCCACCACCCGCCACCCCATCCACCCGCTGGGAAGCACATCAGAGTAATCATGTCACTCAGTGGGGTTTAGATTGAAATTTAATACAAGCCACCGGCTGAGCAGCGGAACGTTTTGTCACCGTCTGGTACGGGACTCCTCTCTGCAAGAAACCTGGGCTTCACTGGGAGTCTCACTCTTCCTTAAAATTTCCAATTTGAAAGTGAAAGTGTCCAAGTAATTGCTGAAGTAAAGTTACAGACGGCTCACAACAAAACTCTCGTCATTTTCCCTCGCACAGGAAAAAGATCGAGACAAAAGGGACAAGGACAAAGACGGCAAGGAGAAAGACAAAAAGGCTGTGAACGGACATCTGTTTACAGCAGTCAGCTCCAACCAGTCCATCCAGTGCTCCCAGTGCAATAGAGCTTTTAATGGCAAAGAGGCGTTCTGCTGCACATGTAAGTACCATCTCTGTCTTTCTCTGTTGCCGCTTGTTTTCGAAAAAGTTTCCTAAAATGTGCAAAATCCCTCCTTAATCAGTCCATAACTTGAAACTTGAGTTAAAAGAAAAAGACACAAACTGATAAGATGCAGGGACATCCAGTACCTCAGTTCATGTCTTTAGGATTCACCAATAAGAAATCAATGAATGAATAGTAATTTATTTATGACAATTTCAGACAATTTGACAGACAGCAATACATGAATCCTCAAAATAAACACAAAAAAGACTAGTTAACATAAACCAAACCAAATAATTTTCAAACTAACTTCATCTTAACATAAATAGAAGCGAAACCCTCCACCAAATAAACCTGTCGGTATATAAAGCCAGAGAAATGACATTGATTACTGTAAATTGTCTGAAAAGGCCTATGAAGAAGTAAAACTTCTTATTCATATCCCATCTCCCTCTAATTGCACTCTCTCTCAAATGTTGCTGATTTAAAAATGTCTGCATAGAGGAGCAGGTCACAATGTCAATGGTTGAAGATTCTTTATCACTGATCTCAAATGCCTGATGGTAGTTGAACTGCAATGATTGGCTCAACCAGGTATCCTCAAGGGCTTTAGTGCTTATATTTTACTTGATATGTTCACTGTAGGAAAAGCTTTATATGTTCATTTAGATTATTTTGATCTAAAGACCAAATCACACCAGGCAGGGTTAAGAGTCTCCTCTAGAGATAATCAAGGTTCAATGTGGTTCGTTTGGTTTTAACAGCCATTTATTGTGGTCATGTCTTACAAAGCCCCCAAAAAGTGCCGTCAGAACTAAGAAGGAGAACAGAAACCCAAATTATCTAAAAACAAATATAAAGGTTAACACAGATAAATACAAGTAAAAAAAAAACTCATTGACTGCATAAACTCCAGAGGAAAAAAAATTACTTATAAAGATTTTCTCACAAAAACGACGTTAGTTTTCTGGTGCAACTTCTTGGAAAACAGTCCGAGGCCGTTTCTCAATATGTGCACTTGTGCGTTCTAATGTCCTCGTGTCCTCGTGAAACGACATCAGCTTCAGCCATAGTACTGCTCAAATTCACAAGAACAGCAGACATAGAACGGACAAAGTCCCTGGATGTTGTTCTCTCGCCTCCCTCTTTACCCAGCATGCATCAGCCATTGATAAAATTGACAGCTGTCCCAGCATGCACTGCAGCAGCAGCTTTCAAGTATTAAGTTCAGAGTATTAAGTTAAAAGTTCTCTTTTCTGTTGCCATTGTTCAAAAAAAGTACGTTTTAAGATCATTTGAGGCGAGAACATTACACTTTTAAGCGTCACTAAAAGGCTCATTTACTGATTTAATGAGTAATAAAAAAAAATTTCCCGAAGTTGAGAGGACCGCGGCAATCAGCGGAGCTCTGAGGGTAATGGCAGCCAGGTCTAATCCCAGCCCGTCTGCAGCAGCCCTCCCTCTCCATAGCCATGTGTGAAGAACCACTGGCTCTGATGGCGATATTTTTGTTTTAATTGCTAAAATGATCATTTGATTTGCGTTTATCTGACTGTGTTCATGGAAAAAAGTCAGAATTTATCATTATCGAAAGACTATTAATAACAGGAGGTGAAATGCAGTTCCAGACGAGCTCAGCGTGCGGTGACGTCATCAGTACGCCTCTGTTCCAATTAACCCAGATTTATGCCGCATGCTCCCGTTCTCACCAAGTCCACACTTTCCTGTGTTCTTCTCAAGCACATACTTGGCGAGAACATGAGTCCGTACCCGCGTTCTCGTGAATTGACGCCAATAATTGTGTCAATCAATCTTTTCCATGGGCAAAAACGTGACATGCGGATCAAAAACAAAGGTTCCTACTTAATCCGTGTATCATTCGTTCTTTCTATTTTCAATTGTCAATCAAAAAACAAAAAATAAAAAATTGACTGGTTATTTTGTTTTTTGTTTTTTATGGTTAAACCAAAAACGAAAAAAGGATTTGTTTTTCATATATCAATTCTAAGCTCAGATCTAGAATACGAAATGGAAAAACGGACAGCAACGCAGAATTTGATTTTAATATTTAATCGGTACAGTTTACATGACCCGGAAGTTTGGTGGAGCTTTAGCTAAAAAAAACAATTGGCTTACCCCCATAGATATCCATAATAAAGGCTTTATTATGGATATCTATGCTTACCCCCACCACGTTCGATCAAGCTGCACCAGATAAGGCAGTCGGACCTATCAGCCATGGACAGTTACGGTCGAGGATCCAAGCGTGTGACTCTTAAGGAGGAGGACATGACAACGGAGAAAATCAGCAGGATTTTCCAGGTATAACTTTTTTCTTGAAACTTTTCTGTGCACTGTACTTTTAACTAGCAACAACAAACAGCGTTCTAGCGTCGCCATGGTAGCCACTTCATCACCCCACTGCCTCGCAAAGAGCTATTTCCGGGTCACGTAAACTGTACCGATTAAATATTAAAATCAAATTCTGCGTTTTTCCATTTCGTATTCTTGATCTGAGCTTAGAATTGATATATGAAAAACAAATCCTTTTTTCGTTTTTGGTTTAACCATAAAAAACAAAATAACCAGTCAATTTTTTATTTTTTGTTTTTTGATTGACAATTGAAAATAGAAAGAACGAATGATACACGGATTCTACTTAAATCTTAATGTGTTTTTTAACCCATGTCCATAAACAACATAAATTTACTGAAAGTTATTTATTTATTTATGATTGAACGTTTCCCTTTAATACAAGTATGTATTCACTCTTGTTTTCAACAAAATATTTAAATCAGCTGACTCTGATGGCAGCTACAGTTTGATTCGAAACATCGGGTTCTATGAAGTCTAGCAATTTTATCTCATTGAGATACATGGGGCTGGTCAGTCTGAACACGTTCGTCCACAGCTGTGCTGGCATAGCTTTGACCGACGTGGAGCCTTGGTCTATTTCAGACTGATTTCCAAATGTGATGGGAAAGTCACAACTCAGACAGAGAAAGTAAATACTCTGAATAGCAAGGTAAACCGGACAGCTTCATATATGGCAAACAGAACAGACTGCACTGCAAAAACAGTCTAGAAATAAGTTGACTGTTCATAAATTAAGTGTATTTACCCTTAATCTGAGTAGCTAAATAAGATGATTTGCCAATGGAATAAATATTTTTACTTCTAAAATAATATAATTACATAATATACACTAAAAATAAGACAATGCAATTGTTTTTTTCATATTTAAAATGCTAATTGTCTTATTCCATTGGCAAAGTTTCTCACTTACCTCCTCAATTAAAAAAAAGGAAACTTATTAGAAGAAAAAATGACTTTTTTAGATTTCAATTTCTTCCAGTGTGACATAAAAAAATCAATAATACATTTCATTTAACAGTGTACTAAAGGGAAAACAGGGATCCTCCTTGAGCTTTTTTAGAGCAGCTATCACAGAAACACATTCACCAGCTGGCTGTTTATGCTTTATGATCTGAGACAAACTCTCCTGCGGATGCACGATGGGGCATAGTGGGAGCCTTTACTCAGCAGTGTGCCAGAAAAATATTGCATCTGAGCTTGTAAAGTCAGACGCAAGTGGTGTGTTCCCCTCTAATACCTTTCTTTTCTACAACCAAAACGAGAAATAAAAAACAACCTGCATATCAGGCATTAAAGAATCAGATAGAGAGAGTGTGATTGGTGCAGCTGATTACCAGTAAGTGGGTTAAACCGACATCAAACTGATTTGTTACTGTTGTTTTCCAATGAAAGCATTTTGTTTTTGTACTGCATTAAAATGTGCAGCATAGAAAACATTCAGTTCAGCAAACAGTGGCAAAATAAAGATAAAAGGCTGCTGTTGACGTCTGTAATCATACAGCATGACCAAACTATCATCAGAGTTGGTCTCCTTTGCCTAATGGCCGCCTTTCTTGGTACCCTTTTTTTTTGCAGCTCATATTTGTGGATGCCTAAATTGTCTTCATACTCGTCTCCAGTCAGACTACTTTAAAACCAGCACCGTCAAAATATGTCAGAGCCGAAAACAAAGGCGTTTTTAATTATAGTTTTGACTGGAGCACCAGAAGAGGATGTAGCTTATTACACAAGAAGGAGGGGGGTTTCAAAAGCAGAAACTAGCTCCTCCATGGATTACAGCCGTCGTCTGAATGGTCACATTCTGCCTCAGATACTCAACTGACAAGAAACAGCCCTTTTTGTTTTCCATGCAGACTGCTTCAGAGCCTTGTGATTTTCAAGGAGGTTTATACTCACAGATGTCTGGCTGGTTTCCATCTAGCAGACAAATACAGTGTTTCTTTGTCTTCAATTTTCTGGGTCTACTTAGATGTCTACAGAAAAAAGGGGAAATACCAAATAATGCTGTTAGGGGAAGAGGAAAAAGATCATGCATATAAAAATCCGACAGCACCTGAAACTACCACTGATGGCGTTGTTGCCTTTCTGTCCAAACTTGACTTTTTTTTTATGATCTCACCAGCAACAAGAGTGTATGTTTACTGATGTAATCTTCAGAACAGAAATGTTGCGCCAACCACAATGACAATACTTTGTGGGTGTAATTTGCGCAACATGTCTGATAAGTTATTCAGCAGAAACACTTTGCTATAAAAATTTAGCAAAGCAGGCGAAAGATCCGACCTGCTCAGTGTTTCATTTTTTTTTCAGCCTCTTCCCTAATGGACGCTTGCAGCTGTTTAGGAGTTTAGCTGGAGGTATGAAACACAAACGCTTTGTGGGTAGTTTCCCAGAGGATACAGGCGAATCGGAGTCGCTGACTGTCTGAACAGGATCAGATTACACTGCAAATCTTATTTTAGGAGGCATGAATTATGACTTTAGTTCCTAAATGATGAATATGGGAATGTTTACAAAACGGAGATTTTCCCATGTAGAGCAGTATACATGTGTGTGCGTCAAAGCTAGTCGTTTTTTTTCCCCTTTTCTTTTCCACCCAGCAGTATTGCCCCTCTGTTGCATCACGCGTGCTGCTCCAGTCTGGCTTTCATTAGCGGGCTGGTGGAGTTTCCTGGCTGACTGTGAAAACCAGTCAGAATTTCTAGCCCCCGCCTCCTCCCCCCACACTTACACAATCACTGGCCCCAGCACCACCACCGTCAGCGGGCTCACTATGTTGCTTTTCTTTCCAGACTGTAATGCATCCGTCCACAAGGGCTGCAGGGACAGCATGCCTGTTTGTGCCAACGTGAAGATGAAGGTAAAACTCCCCCGTCCACCACTGACCCTGGAACATTCGTTTGTCCTGCAGCCAAAATCGATATTCCTTTCGTTTATGCCTTTTTGTTCTTCGTTTCTTTGACTAGTTGCCCAAACAGCAGTTTACAGTTCCAGATTCCAGCACTCAGTGCTCAGTTCCTGCCGTCACAATGAGGAACAAAGGTGAGTGTCAAACTAACTTCACTTGCACGTATGATCATCCTCATTTCTAGTTGGAATGCACAGCACAATGCCATTACTGTCATTTTGCAGAATCTCATAAATGTCAATTAAAGAGATATAATCCGCTATAAGATGCTTGCAATAAAAAAATGAGCTTTAATACTTGAGTTTAGCTCTTTCATCTGGAATTACTTCATTTCTTTTCGATGGACTTCCTCCAGCTGAAAGGAGGAAATGAGCTTTGCACACATTTCCGATAAAACCTGCAGAAAGTTTCTTAATCATTTTTTACTACTGTAAATGAGTTGTCTAGTATTGCATAAACTCATTCTTTAGAAAGTATACATTAGCAGATATTAAAGCATGGGTGCAGAATTCTTGGTAAATAAAAAAAAACCCTCTATATTTCAGAAGACGCTTTCAATTATGCATTATTTATTATAAGTTTATATCAATCATGTTCTTATATGAGCTGCATGTTGGCACGGTACCAATGCATGGAGTTAACATGTTCTCACCGTGCATTTGTGAGTTCTCTCTGGATACTCTGGCTTCCTCCTTCTGTCTGAAAACGTATTAGGGTAATTGGTCTGTAATGTTGTATTTTTATTAACTAGTTTCTGTCTGCAACCTGCCTCTGGGTCAACAAATAATGGACTTGGGGGGGCCAGAAGTCTTACAACCCTGCACAGGAAAGTTCGCCTAGAGAGTCGATTTGTGCACGGATGTTCCTACAATCGTTAAAAATATACAGCATATTATTATTAGTTTTAACTTGATATTCATTTTTTAATGACTGCGAATATTTTCAGATAGTTTAATCTTGTCTTTTAAGTGCGGTAAATCGGTAAAAGCCATTTCTCAGTCAACTGACAGGCATTGTGCTGCAATGTGTGACAGGTGTGTTGCATTTCAGCTCTATGCTCCCTGGAAAAAGCTTCAGCCAACAAAACTTTTTATGAGCAACTCAATAGAAACACTGTACGAACTAAGAGGATAAAGAATGTTACGTTTTTTTTAAGTCATAACTTTTAAGGTTGTTCGTATAACTTGATGCTGCTAACCAGCATATGTGCAGAGTGGGCTAGCTCATGTTTTCCACTTAATCTTTAGACTTTCATGAGACCATCTGTACTTGAGCTTTTTACAAAGGCGTCCATGTTCTCGAGGTTTTTCTTAGCTCTTTTTAAGTTCAGTTCAAATTCAAGACATGCTGGTTTACATTTAACTCTGCCACCAGAAAAACAGGCATTCAGTATAGTCAGCCTGTCTTAAATGCTTACATGCTGCCTTATTTTACAGCCTGATGTCTGAAACACAAAACAGAGCCACATCGACCTGCTGACTGGTTGATTTTTCTGAGCATAACTGAAACATTCTGATTCATTGAACCAGAAGTATAACATTTGCCTCCTAACGATCGTCACATCACAGCCACAAATATTTGCGTTTTATTGAAATGAATGCGACACAAAAAAACAGCAAAGTTGTGAAAAAAGGACGAAAGTAATCTTTTATCTTTTTTATATTTCCAGAAGAAAAATGTGTTTAAATGCAGCAAGTCGATACCATTTAGACAGCTGCAAGTCTTTTAAGTCGTAGGGAAGTCATATTTAAATGTCAAATCATTCTGGCTTAAACATTTATATAAATGTACTCTTTATTAGACAATATTGTCCCAAAAGTTAGAAATTTGTTTATTTAAAAAAAAAAACTCCTCTTAAAAATCTGTTTTGTTTTTTTCGTTATCTTATGCAGGCCAGTTAGTTATGCGTGAGCCTGAATACCTAAATTCGGCCAATCTTACATCAACAATCATCTGTCAATCAATTTTTTTCAGTCATAGCATCTTGATTCATATGTCACAGCTAATATACGCAAACCAGTGTTCACGGGGATGGACGTCTGTGTCTTCGGCAGGCGTAGAGCTAACAGAACTGGCAGCGTTGCGAGGCAAGGGCTCAAACATGTACGGCTGTAAGCCTTCTACACCAAACCGAGCTTCTGCCGTCCTGGCGTCCTCTTCCACAACATCTTCATCCCCGCTTTCCTCCTCTAAATAAAAAATGGATGACAGAGGAGACTCATCCACGACCTCCGACACTAAACTCTCCTCCTCTTGCATGTTTCCGCTGTCCATAGCGTTCCTTGACAGTGTCGTTTCTAAGTCACCAATTTAGTGCTACTTGGTCCCAATGGAATTTCCCATTAGGAACCTACTAGCACTACGTTGCTAACTGGTTAGCAAGATGCTTCAGACAAACCGGCTACAATCAAACTTGCTTGCGAACCTTCCGCCACAACAATCCCGCCCCCTTGATAAACGACCAATGACATTCACTTTATTCACTCGTGTAAAGTCGGGCACCACTCAGGAGAATTCTGAAATGCAACGGTTGGAACAGTTGCTTCGATATGACTTTAAACTATTCTGATAGCAAATAAGTTATCATTTAAATAACGTAGTCATGAAAAAGATCCCCTGTAAATGTGAAAACTTGCACCTCAGTGTTATTTCATTTAAAAATTTGACTCTAAAGGAAAAAAAAATCTGTTGTTAATGTTTCTTGCAGCAAGCAAAACAAAAAAATCACCAGAAAATGGTCAAAACCTGAAATACCTGCAGTGAATGACTAGTTCAAAATTGAACACGAGATTTATATTCTGGAGAAACTATCATTCTCTCTCAGAGGTCAAAAGGAAACTTTTTTCACGATCTGGTCAAAATGGACAAATGACAGTAGCAGCCATTCATACATGCCCTTTCCAGTCAAACGCAGGCGAATGGCAGCCCACTTCCCTGCAATTCCCAGCAGAATCCCCTCCAACTTCCAGCCACTGCAGTGACCCCCATTCTTGCATATTCTTTTACTCTGTCTCCATCCTTTCACTGAATTACAGGATCTGACCAGGAGAGGGTGCCTCTCTATAGATCTTAATGTCCACAAGTTCTGACAGAAAGAATATTTTAGTACAAGGATTGATGTTTAAAAAGGAATTGTAGGGGACCAGTCAAGACCCTTGGCACTTCCACATCAAGGAAACTGATCACTACCATCCTTGCTCGACGCTGACATTGTTGCGCATACTTTTACACACAGTACTTCAAACTGAATCAGATGGAATGCAGACTTTTTCAAATATTTTTATTTTTGTATTTGTTGCCTTTTTAGCCATGACAGCTCTGAGCTGCAGCAGGAAGTGTACTTTCTGCAGTGCATCATAAAAACAAGGTGTTGCTGATCAGTGTTCCAGATGTGAGCAGATAAAGCTAGATGAGAAATGACAGTCTAGTTGGTTTTATGATGAATTTGAATCTGTTAAAGGGTAGCTTTTTAGGATCAGTGTTTATTTCAGGATTTTGGAGTCTAACTGTGATATTAACAGTTTCTCCTCCAGCTGGTGGGACGAGGGACCATCCTCGGTCGGCCGTCTTAAGCCCTGAGGACAGCTTTCCCCTAAGGATCCCAGCATCCAGGAGACACACCAGCATCATGACTTTCCCTGGAAACAATCTGTCCAAGAGTCTCTCAATGAGCAACATAGCAGGGTGAGCAGCTGCCCCTTTGTTCAAGGGAAATGGTCACCTCTCTGTTTAGATGAATTTGAACTTTATATCTGCACCTTGTAAAGCGTTTAATCAGATTAGTGATGCAGACCTGCTCTTTTCTTCTCACCTTTTTTTTCTTTTAACATTTCTCCTTTCAGTCCATTTGACAAGATCCCCATTAAAGGCCTGCAGTACCTTTCACAGTCCATGGACACACTCAACAGAACCAACCAGGTCACAGAATCCATGGAGTCTCTCACCGACGAAGGTTAACAAACACATTTCTGTTTAGTATTTTAGAAATAAACAAACAGGATTCACAGCAACACTGACATAAAACTGATTCTGTGGAGATGTGCTGAGCTATAGATGGAAGCTTCTGGTTGCTCAGGCACAAGGCCATTAGTAGTACCATTCTTTATTGTTAACCCCTAAACCTGTGTTTCTAACATATCTAAGAATGTTTGAAGGTTGATATCCTGCAAAAATAGCTGTACATATTTTGTCACTTTAGCGGCAAAAAAGTTAAAATGTACAAGGCTGATTGCTTCTTGATGAATTAATTTTTCCCTGTTTACCGAGCATTAGAAATTTAGTATGGAAACATTTGCAACTCTGACATATTAGCATCTGACATATACTCTGACAAACACACACACACACACACATATATATATATATATATTTTTTTTTTTTTTTTTTTTTTTTTTTAACATATATATGTGTGTGTGTACTACTCCCACAAACAGGCTACTGCGGGTACTATTTAATGAAGATGCAAGTTGGGGACCTGTGAAGCGTCTGTTTCTCAAACTAGAGACTCTAATGTACTTATCTTCTTGCTCAGTTGTGCAACGCGGCCTCCCACTTTTTCTACTCTGGTTAGAGCCTGTTTGTGCTGTCCTCTGATGGGAGTAGTACACTCTGTTGTAAGAAATCTTTAATTTCTCCCTGATCTGGGAGCTGGCAGGGAGACAGACACATCGCTGATGATACAGAGCGGTATGATCACTCCTCTGAAACAGTTTATTAACACTTAAATTAACTTAAAATGCTGAAACCTGCCAGTTTTTATTATCCTGGTGCCTGCAGTTTGGATTATGTAAAAGAAAACCGCCTTCCAGCCGCTGGTATGTGGGGGTCTGAGCGGCTCCGACAGAAATAATTTTAGAAGACAGGATCGTAATCTGGATCAACTGACTGCACTGATTAAGTTTTCAGTTGGATTTTTGCACCTAAAAGCATATTAAAACTACTTTATTCCCACTGATCACAGCAAATACAGCTGCAGGGCAAAGAAGGGATAGATTAGCTCCGCCCAACTCACGTCAGATCCAGTTTTCAACCGTGCAGCCAGAGCAGCAAAGATGCTTCAGCCGCGCGTCAGAACTAAACTTGTACAAGCATCAAAAATGAAGCAGCAGACGCGTTTTTGCTGCCCCTGCTGCGTTTGGTGTGAACGCAGCTTAAGAGAGGAGGTCGTCCCAGTTGCACAATTGCTGGGGCGTATGAGGAAAAGAAAAGAAGAGAAGAGGACCCACTATACCCATTCCAGTCCCCGATGTGTAAAGAAAGGGAGATGCAAGGTACCAGATTGCAAAGGTACACTAAAGCCAAGTGCCAAAATGTTATGACTGATATGTAATAAGGGATGCCCAAGCCCCCCAAAACTAGAGTGAAATACTTTTTCCCCAAAAAATAAAAGCAGGCCATAGAGGGTTAAAAGGCTGGCGACATAAAATCCAACAAAACAAAATCTGTTTAACCCTATTTCTGCAGAATCAACAAAAAAAATTGTTTTTTTTTTCTCATATCACTTGTCATGGCTGAATAAGTTCCACCCAGGCTTCTGTCTTGCTGTGTTTCAGTCAGTAGAAGTGCAAGAAAATGTTGTCAATGTAAGCTGTGCTCCTGTTTCGGAACAGAGATGATGGACGCGCAGCTGCTGGGGGAGTTCGAGGAGAATGCCAAAGAGTTTGAGGCAGACTCTTGGAGTCTGTGTGTGGAGCAGCAGTACCTGCAGCAGCAAAACAAAGAGCTGGTCAAGAGACAAGATGTCATCAACGGTACATTAACCTCCAACACTCCCTAGGACACATCGGAGCCACTCAGTCAGACCTTTAAATCTGCATCATTAGACCCAACTTACATGAAATGCTTTGTTTATCAGAGAAAGTCCCTCACAGCAGTTTTTAGTCACATTTAGTCACATAACAGCCACAAGCTTGATGTTATTTGAAGGTGTGAATGTGAAGCTGACTGAATATAAATCCAAGACAAATCTTTGAATTCTTATTTGGTAAAACTTGATATAATTTCTCTCATGTCTAAATTCCCCTGAAAATACTTTTTGTACACTGCAAAAATGTTAATCTAAGTTATTTCTTAAAATAAGTGGATTTTTTCTTAAATTGAGCAAGTAAGTGAGACACTTTGCCAGTGGAATAGGACCATTTACATTTTAAATAAGAAAAAACAATTACAGTCTCTTATTTAAAGGGAATAATATCTAATTATCTTATTTTAAGGGAAAAATGCTCATTCCATTGGCAGATCAACTTATTTTCCTACTTAAATTAAGGGTGAATACACTTATTTTAAGACATGTGTACTGATTTGCAGAATGTTTTTGCAGTGTAATGACTGTTTGTTGACTAAATGTTAAAGATTTCTGAACTATTAACATTGCCTGATGCTTTAGCTTTTTATCTTTATCTCAATCTAGCAGTGGTTAACCAAATCTAGGAAATTCCTCCCTGATCATTAAGTATTATATTACGATGAACACTGAGGGAAGCTGTTTGCAGAGCTCTGGATCAGAAGACATGCATCTTTGGATCCACATGGAAACTGCCTTTTTGTGTCTTTGAATAAGAAGAGTTTGTTTTACTTTGTGCAGAGCTGATGCAGACTGAGTTGCATTACATGCAAACGTTGTGCATCATGTCTGAAATATACAGCAAAGGCCTGCAGAAGGAGGTTCCTCTGGATCAGCACACAGTGGAAAGGATTTTTCCAGTATTGGATGATCTCCTAGACCTGCACGACCAGCTCCTCCAACGACTCTTTGCCCGAGAAAAGGAGAGCCAGCTGGAAGCGGGAGGGTCGGAGGGAAACTTCATCATCAACAGGATAGGAGACATTCTGGTCAGCCAGGTCAGGCGTGTTTGAGTTAGCTAAACATTTCAGTCATGTGGAAGACCTGATGGTCCACTGAATAGAATTAAAGGTTTCAGGCAGGGACTCCCTTTTTAAATTATCTATGCTGTCAGTATATGTTTTGCGTATTTATTTTTGTTGTATTTGACCCTCAGTTCTCGGAATCCAATGGGGACTGTATGAAAAAAGTTTATGGGAAATTCTGCAGCCGTCACAACGAAGCCATCAACGTCTACAAGGACCTCATGAACAAAAACAAAAACTTTAAAAACTTTATCAAGGTAAGGATCAGCCTTCTGCCTCACTGTTAGCACGTATCTGTTATGTAACACATGTTCCTTTTCCTGATTGGTGTCTTATCACATCTTTAGGCTGATGATGTGTTTAATTCGAGTTTGTCTGACAACTTAAAGCCTTCCTCTGTGAGCTTTGCCATTTGTTATGTGGGCATTCTCCTTTAAAGGTGCTTCTCGTTCTTTGTTTTCTCCCAGAAAATGAGAAGTAGCAGCACTGTGCGGAGGCTTGATATCCCAGATTGCATCCTGCTGGTGACCCAGAGGATTACAAAGTACCCTGTACTGATTCAGAGAATTCTGTTGCACACTAAAGGTGGGTTTAATGTCAGTCTCATCTGCCCTGCAGACACGACTCTGAGCTGCTGTGATGAGGAAAAATATTTGATTAGAAAGATCAGTCATGATCAAAGGATATTATTATTTCTGCTGTCAAATACTCAATGATGTATGAAATCCTATCAATTATTTCTGCAAAGCAATCGGGGTTTTTATAGTCAATGGTATCAGTCAATGAAATCAATCATTTTCTTGGCCGATATCCATTCCATGTTGCCCTGAGGTGCAACCAGCTGATTGATTCTGATATTTATTTCTAAAGACGATTACACTGCAAAAAATCAAAATCTCAGTAAGTCAGTTTTTCTTAAAATAAGTGCATTTTTTCTTGAATTGAACAGATAAAGGAGACACTTTGCTAACGAAATAAGACAATTCACATTTAAATAAAAAAAAACAACAACTGCAGTCTCTTATTCAAGTGCATGATATCAAATTACCTTATTTTAAAGGTAAAATACTCATTCCATTGGCAAATTATCTTATTTACCTGCTCAAATTAAAGGTAAATACACCTATTTAAAAAAAACATTTTCAGATAATTCTTGCTATCTATTCATAAAAGACTAAATTCTTCTCTAGAGTTTTTAACACAGGTTAAAATTGGGGATTTAGTAGAAAATAGTTTATTGATCAAATAATATCACTAAGCTTTATACTATTTTCTTTTATTGAAATACACATTCATGGTTAATATGGTTACAGGCCTAAAAGGGCTAAATTTCTTAGCTTTGAAGCATTTGATGAAATATAAATCCAATTGTTTTAGTGTTTGACCTGCAGATTGGTTAATTAATTAAAATATAAATTATTTTATTACAATCAGTACAAGATTGTAATGTTTACAAGAAATGTTAATTTTCTTGGTCAAATGAGTTGGGTTTGAGGTTATGGGTGGAGTGCTTTAAGCACATTTCTGCAGTTGTTGAGGCCTATACAAGCTTAGCTCAGAAATGTTACTATTAATGAGCTTATTATCACATTTTCAGCCTTTTGTTTCCACTGTAAAGCCACAGCTATGTGGCACTGGTTTTAAGGAAGATAGAGGAAGGTATTTATCTGGTGTTTTATAAGGTGTTCTTAGACTGATGAGTGAAGCAAAACCCTGAAGAGCTGAAATATTGTGATCTGATTTAAAAGAGTTGTCGGCAGCCGGCCTCCTGCTGTCTACATTCCCTCTAATCCTTCCCTGGAGCCTCTTTATGGTTCCATGTGGGATGTAGGCGCTCTGACTTAATCCTAAAGTTGATTTAAGCAGACATTTTTTTTTTCACAACACTTATATGTATTGAAAGCAAGCAGCAAAGTATCGCCAAGATTATTTCTTTTTGCTTTGAAGCTCAGATGAACTAAAACAGACCTAGATGCAGGTGAAGTTGTGCTCATTGTGTCCAAAGCTGTGGAGAGCAGCAGTGTTAAAGGTGGAATCTATGGAGAAATACAGCAACTTTATGTCTGTGCTTTATTTTCCCATTATTAGAAATATTATTTTTTTTTAAGGCAGTGTCTGGGAAAAATATCCAGATCTTTTTAACATGTCTACACTGCAAAAAAGGTCTAGAAATAAGTACAATTTTAGCAAAATAAGATGATCTGCCAATGCAATGATTTTTAGTAATATAACAAAATATTTAGATAGTAGGCAGTTGTTTTTTCTTATTTTAAATGTAAATTGTCGTGTTCCATTGGCAAATTATCTCACTTACCTCCTCAATTCAAGAAAAAAATGCACCTATTTAAAGAAAAAATTGACTTATTTAGATTTACTTTTTTGCAGTGTAGATTTTCTCCTTTTACAACCAAAGACATTGCCGGCTTTTGTTAAGGTCAATAACATTTGTTCTAGAATTGCAAAGTGGAAGAAAATAAGGCATGGATTTACATTTATTTTTCCAAGTAAATGAATAAAAACTGATGTGCATTAGTATGTAGTCTACTTTACTCTAGTACCTCTAATAGTAATAAAATATCCTTGGAGATGTCCCATTGGTGAATAGTGTCCATTGGGATGTGAACTAAACACAGCTTTAAGTGGAAGGATCTGTCAACATTGGGACCTTTAGCTGTAGGTCAGAACGTTTTGGCCTACTGCCACTGTGGGTTGGAAAAAGTGCTTTGTCTGTCACCTCAAAAATGTCATTACCGCACCATACTATGGGGGTGGAAGCATCATGATGTGGAGGTAGCGTTCTTTCAAAGCAGTGACAGGGAGGCAGCCAGAGACTAAAAAGATGGATGGTTTGATAGAGGGATGGTCTTAGAGTTAATTAAATGAACTTATTCTGCAAAGAAGAATGGGTGGGGGAGCTTCAGTGTCTGGACGTGCAAAGTTGCTTAAAAAAAACCAAAAGACTTCCTGCCAAAGCGTAGACACTGATGTGAAATACAAACACGCACCACACGTTATAAAAATCAGTTTGAGAAAGAAAACATTCCTCTTTCACTTCTCAATACCATCCGTGTTTAATCATTTTTACAACTACAAATTTAAGAAGTGAGTCAAATCATTTTAAATACACCTTTCTGTGCAGTTAAATCTGCAGCTGTTGTTTGGGTACGGCTTCTCCCACTTCGAACCTCTAAGAAAAAAAGGCAAAACAAGAGATTTATCCCATATTAAGTCGTAAAGTTAAATATTTTAGATCCTGCATGTCAAAATTAAACAACACTAAAATAACTGGTTGGTATATGGTGAAACTGAATACACACTTTGGATATAAAAGAGGAAAATATGTCATGAGAGAAAAAAAAAAGTCCAACTTAAAAAGAAAAAAAAGTATTCCAGCTCTTGATTAGTAGGGCTTTGTTTTTCAAACTAGTTAGTTTATGTTAAAATAAAATCACTTCACCATCTCTAGTTGTTTAAGCCTCCAAACAAGGTGACAGACTACATAAGCAGATGGATAAAAGGATATTTAACCGTCTCATATGAAGGCTGGGATCAGATCAATAAACAACACTGGATGACCTCAAGCTCCACCATGTGGAGGGAGTTTAGCTGGAAGATACTTTTAGGTACTTTGAGAATCCAGCTCAGAAAAAGTATCTGAGCAACAAAGTCAGCTGTTATGCTCTGTGGAACAAATGAGGCAAATCCTCACCATATTTTCTGGAGCTGTCCAGTGCTTAAAGTCGTGGGGAAGTCATATTTAGATGTCAAATCATTCTGGCTTAAACATGTATATAAATGTACTCTTTATCAGACCATAGTGTCCCAAAGTTTAGAAAATTTCTATTTAAAAAAAATCCTGTCTTAAAATCTGTTTTTTTTTTCACTATCTTATGCAGGTCAGTTAGTTATACGTCAGCCTGAACTACTAAATTCGGCCAATCATACATCAACGGTCATCTGAAGAGCCGCTTCCCTACGACTTTAAACTATTCTGAGAGCAAATAAGTTATCATTTAAATAACAAATTCATGAAAAAGATCCCCTGTAAATGTGAAAACTTGTATCTCAGTGTTATTTTATTTGGACGTTGGACTCTAAATCAAAGGTCTTCAACAGGGGGTCCACGACCCCTAGGGGGTCCACGGAGGTACTGCATGGGGGTCGACAAAATTTTGTTGTTGTTTTTTTTTTGTACGTTTTTTTTTTATATAGATATATATTCCCCCCTGCAATTTTTCCACTAATTAAAATGTCTTTAAATACACATGAACATGAATTCAACATGAATTCATCATCATTTCATTCACACCTGTCCCATCAACGAGGAATACGAATCAGAAATACTTTAATTATCCCAGGGCGAAATTACTTTGGTTACATTACTCCATCTGTAATAGTGACTATAGGACCAGTTTGATAGAACACAATTTCAAACAATATATATAATTAGGGGGTCCTTGCTTCATCTCACCATCAGTTTGGGGGTCCTTAGCCTGGAAAACGTTGAAGACACCTGCTCTAAATGATAAAAAAAAACTGTTGTTAATGCTTCTTGTAGGAAGCAAAGCAAAAGAAAAACACCCAAAAATGGTTAAAACCTGAAATACCTGCAGTGAATGAGTTCAAAATTGAACGCAAGATTTATATTCTGGAGAAACTATCATTCTCTCTCAGAGGTCAAAGGGAAACCTTTTTCACGATCTGGTCAAAATGGACAGATTATGATTAATCAGCGCTCCCAGTGGTTTAGTTTAACCTGCCGCACAGTTACATTGTCAGAGCTTTTATTCTGATACCATTTGGGACAAATGTAAAAGTCCGTCTGTGCTGCCCCAGATAGTGAGAAGAATTAGACCTTCCCCTCAACTACTCACATGTTTTACCTGTTCTCTTTATTGTAAAAGGCAAAACCTTTGATTAACATTCGTCAATGTTCTTATTCGCAGTAATGTGATGGTCTCTGGAACTTGGATGAGCTTACCTGTAAAGCTTGCTTTTCCAATAAATAAATAAAAAAGAAGTTGCATGCTGAACCGTTTCCAGAATGTCCCTCCTCTGTTGCTATCCTGACTCATCCTCACATCTCCTCCACAGAAACAGACGAGGACTACGACGACCTGAACGAGGCCGTCCGGTTGGTGAAAGAGGTGATCGCCGCAGTCGACAGCAAGGTGAACGAGCACGAAAAGAGGCGCCGTCTGAAGGAGTTCCACAGCCGCATGGACAGCAAGTCCATCATGATGTTCAAAAGCGGCCAGCTCTTCGCCAGAGAAGACCTGCTGAGGCGGCAGCTGATCCACGATGGAGCGCTGCAGCTGAAGAACACACAAGGAAGACTAAAAGGTGATCATAGAGCTATAGAAGTATTCCTTCATCTACGGTTGATCTCCTAACCCTCTGCTTCCTCTCCTGTTGATTTTCTAGACGTTCAGGCTCTGCTCCTATCAGATGTTTTGGTCTTCCTTCAAAAGAAGGGCCAAAAATATGTCTTTGCCATGCTGGTAGGTTCTCACTGTCATCTCTCCTCTTCTTGGACATTTTTTTTAAATCTCTCCTAGTTTTCCTGCTTCCTGCAGTGATAAACATCAGATGTTTTCATCCTTTCTCAATGCAGTGTTCTTGCTGTTAGCAGAAGCTGTCCTGTTTGTTTTTCCCACTGAGCAGGAACTTCTGCCTCTCGCTTGCACGCTAGCTGAAGCTCATAAAGCCGATCTGGCCCTGGGCTCCTGACCCAGCTGTGATAAATCATCTGGGTTTCTGTTGGGGCTCTCGCTCCTTGTTTACAGGGCTCCCAGCTTCATGCTTTTTTGTCGCACATTAGAGGGATGAAAACAGGCAGGCCTGCAGCTGGATAATCACATCCATTAGTAAAGCTTGCAGTGTTTGAGTTCAGGCTGGTGGCACTGAGAGGGAATATTTCCAGAATGAATAGGGGTTATGAGATGATGGGTGTTTTCAGATGAAGATTAAAGAATTAAAAGCAAACCTGAGAACGGAAACTGGACTCATCTGTTTTATAAAGGTGATTTGAATTAATTGGTTTGGATCACAAACCCAGAGGCCATTACACCAATAGGAAGAAAATAAAACATTCTTACCCATCTCTGCACATAAGTGTTAAATTATTGATCCATGTTCGAATAATGCAGGTCTAAGTATCTAAAGAAACTTGTCAGATGATTTTTTTTCTAAATGTTAAAGACGTCCAACTAACCAACTGGTCAAGTTAGCAGTGATCACTTATTTTAATAATTAATTAATCATTTTCTGGAAGGAGCACATTTATAGACAGTAAAATGCAAAATTTATTTTATCTAAATTTTTTGTCTAACTTACTCCTCTAACTAGGTTTTTCTGTTTTAGATAAATAAAATTGTTAGAAATGATTTTAATAATCCACTAAAGAGTCTTATTTTGATTCTTCCATCCTTACAAAAGCATTCGTATGAATAACATCACCTTAGCCTAAAACTGAAACAGAACTGAATCCTTTACAAGCAACCAAGAAACATTTAAAGTCGTGTAAGGAGCAACTGTACGTTAATTTTTTTATCAAGCAACAGAGTGGGAGGGGCATTTCTTTAGTCTTCTGGTTTAAAAAAAAAAAGTTCAATATTCACCAAATAGAGTTTTTAGCCTGATTAATACTGTAACGATTGCATCTGGAGTAAATCACAGCTTGGTCCAACCCTGCCCTAAACTTAATTATGTGACTTAAAATAAAATGCTCCCAATACTGAACCTGGAGGTCCATCGTTTTAAAGAGCTTTTTAGACGAAATGGGAGCAGATCTGGAGACAGTGAACATCTTTAGGAGGAAACTAGGGAGCTTCAGGGTTTGTTTAGCAGAAGTGATGATCTGATCTGATCTTATTGATTAATCTGATCTAATGATCGCATTTATTAATCTGATCAAATGATCCAAATTATTAATCTGATCTAATGATCGTATTTATTAATCTGATCAAATGATCCAAATTATTAATCTGATCTAATGATCGTATTTATTAATCTGATCCAATGATCCAAATTATTAATCTGATCTAATGATCGTATTTATTAATCTGATCTAATGATCGTATTTATTAATCTGATCTAATGATCCAAATTATTAATCTGATCTAATGATCGTATTTATTAATCTGATCCAATGATCGTATTTATTAATCTGATCTAATGATCCAAATTATTAATCTGATCTAATGATCCAAATTATTAATCTGATCCAATGATCCAAATTATTAATCTGATCTAATGATCCAAATTATTAATCTGATCAAATGATCGCATTTATTAATCTGATCAAATGATCCAAGTTATTAATCTGATCTAATTATCGTATTTATTAATCTGATCTAATGATCCAAATTATTAATCTGATCTAATGATCGTATTTATTAATCTGATCAAATGATCCAAATTATTAATCTGATCTAATGATCCAAACTATTAATCTGATCAAATGATCGAATTTATTAATCTGATCAAATGATCCAAATTATTAATCTGATCAAATGATCCAAATTATTAATCTGATCTAATGATCGTAATTATTAATCTGATCTAATGATCCAAATTATTAATCTGATCCAATGATCGTATTTATTAATCTGATCCAATGATCGTTTTTATTAATCTGATCCAATGATCGTATTTATTAATCTGATCTAATGATCGTATTTATTAATCTGATCTAATGATCGTATTTATTAATCTGATCCAATGATCGTATTTATTAATCTGATCTAATGATCCAAATTATTAATCTGATCCAATGATCGTATTTATTAATCTGATCCAATGATCGTATTTATTAATCTGAGCTAATGATCCAAATTATTAATCTGATCCAATGATCGTATTTATTAATCTGATCCAATGATCGTATTTATTAATCTGATCCAATGATCGTATTTATTAATCTGATCCAATGATCGTATTTATTAATCTGATCCAATGATCGTATTTATTAATCTGATCCAATGATCGTATTTATTAATCTGATCTAATGATCCAAATTATTAATCTGATCTAATGATCCAAATTATTAATCTGATCTAATGATCCAAATTATTAATCTGATCCAATGATCGTATTTATTAATCTGATCCAATGATCGTATTTATTAATCTGATCTAACGATCGTATTTATTAATCTCATCAAATCATCCAAATTATTAATCTGATCAAATGATCCAAATTATTAATCTGTCCAACTAAACTGATCCAATGAGTTTATCTTAGCTCTTTTGATCTACATTCTTTTTCTTAAATCTCCTTCCTGATTAAAAAAACACTTGACCTTTTCTTCCCTCTTTGCTGTACTTGTTTTTATTGCACCAATAATTGCCCCAATCCCATACCCACACCCCCCACCCGGCCATTTTCCTTCCATGGTGCTTTTCCCATCGTCTCTCCCTTGACCCTCCCACTGCCTCCTTTCTTTTTCTCCTCTCTCCTCCCACGCTGGCTTCCTCCAACCCTCCATTTTCATCCTCCCTTGTCTCCCCGAAGGACCAGCGCTCCACGGTCATCTCCCTCCAGAAGCTAATCGTCAGGGAGGTCGCCAACAAAGAGCGTGGCTTCTTCCTCATCACAGTGGGTACAGAGAAGCCGGAGATGATGGAGATCCTGGCCAGCTCCAAGGAGGAACGCAACACCTGGATGCAGCTCATCCAGACAGCCATGCAGTCTATGTGAGTGGGAATCATTTGGGTCTCCTGTGTGCTTCCTCAGCTTCTTTTTTTTTTATCCCGTCCTCCAACTTCTTTTGTAAGGCTTTGTTGTTTCGAAAAAACTTTTTTTTTTTCCTTTTTACTTAATCCTCTCTGTGCTTAAGCTTGTAACTCTGCTGTGAACAGGCTCAGGTTTGGCCTCTCCTCTGCGCTCTAAGCTGGGGTTAGACTTTTCCCAGTTTTTTATGATAATGTTCGTGAAGTTGGGACAAAGCACTATGCAGCCAGGAGGATTAGCTGCACTCTACCTGTGGATGGGATGTACTCAAGGACCATCTAATGCTGGATTGGCTGCGAGGGCAGCTCGCTTATAAGCAGAGGATTACTCGAATGCAGCCAGTGAGAAGAAGGAAGAGATTTAGCCCTCTGTCTCACTCCTTCCTCCTCTAACTTCTGTCAGAATACAAAACTGAAATCAATCTGTTGGCAGGAGATGAGAAAAGAAAAACTCAATGCACACGCTATCTTCTCTCTGAATTATACACGTGAATAGGCTCTTCATAGGATGAGGCCGAAGCTCATTTTTAGCTTTTTTTCCTCTGTGGGAGGAAAAGAAGTTTGAAAAATGTCAGAAAGTAGAGAAAGTTATTAAGAAATGTAAAATGAGTAAGAACTCTAAAGGTTTATTAGAAGGTTAATTTAAATACAGGTTTCTATTTTCCTTATCTATTAGCTTTTAACCTAAAATGTAATCATCGAGTTTAATAGTTCACCCTAATTACGGTAAATAGGTGGCATTTTTTAGATTTTTGCACAGTAACTATTTAAGATTTTAAAATTCTAATGCTCTCTTTTACAGTCTGCAGTTTAATCATTTTTCCTTTCTGTGATGCATCTTGTGCTCTTCACATCTGTGCAGGGACAAAGACGAAGATGAGGGGATCCCCAGTGAGACGGAGGATGACAAAAGACAATTGGAGAGCAAAGCCAAAGAGATCAGAGGTGAGAAGAACACATCAAACAGGCTTTTGTGGAAAGAAACACCAAAAGTATTTTTCATTTTTTCCTCGGATGCCGATACCATTGTCTGTTTCTGCCGGCCAGATATGTTGAAACAGAAAGACACAGAGATTATCTCTCTGTTGGAGGAGAAGGTGCGGCTCTTCAGGGAGATGTGGGAGGGCTTTAGCCCCAGCGAAGAGGCCTGCAGGCAGGTCGAGCCTTTTTTCAGGTCAGCCTGCAGCCAGGAGCCGCCTCAGGGGGCGTCTATCATGAAAGATGCTCTGCAGGAAGGTAAGACGGAGGAAGTGAAGCTTGTGGTATTTGTGGTCTAAATGCATTTCTCTTTTGGTGTCCTTGGATGTGAAGCAACACTGACATGAATTCTGTGAGAGGGAGACAGGAAATGTTTCCTATAAGATCATAGCATCAGCTTCTGTTGTTAAGAAACATCAGGACTAAAATTAATTTCAAATTAGGTTATCTATGATGTTCCAGTAATGTCACACGTTAAACCAGACATGTTTCTGCTGCATAGGGGCAAATACTGTTCCTGGAACATATACTGATATCTGTTTTAGCCCAGAATACAGCCTTGTCTGCAAGGTTACCACCTATGCACTGCAAAAAATGGAAATCTAAATGAGTCATTTCCGCTTAAATATAGTGCATTTTTTCTTATATTGACAAGGTAAGTGAGATACTTTGCAAATGGAACAAGTCAATTTACATTTAAAGCAAGGAAAAAAACAATTGCTTTGTCTTATTTGAAGTGCATATTATCTAATTATCTTATTTTAGGAGTAAAATATAATTTTTATTGGCAAATCATCTTATTTATCTGCTAAAATTAAGGGTAGGTACACTTAATTTAAGACATTTTCTATTTATTTCTAGATGGTTTTTGCAATGTGAACACCAGGTCCTTATTGACAATTTACCCCCAACTCATGTTTAGGCTCCAATTTCTAGGATGACCTTTGTACACTGCAAAAAACGATCAAGAAAAAGGAAAACATTCTTAAATCAAGTGTATTTACCCTTAATTTGAGCAGGTAAATATGATCTGCCAATGGAATTAGTGTTTTTTTTTTTATTATGCACTTGAAATAAGACAATGCAATTTTTTTTTCTTATCTTAAATGTTAAGTTGTCTCGCCTACCTCAGTTGAAGAAAAAAATAATTTTTTTAGATTTAAATTTTTTGCACTGCAGAGTCTGGACAATGATCATGATAGAAACACAAAAGCTGGTGTGTGTATATTTGTTTACAATCTTGCTGAGCCAGTACCTCTAGAACCGGCTTCCTCTACCAGCTTCATACATTTAGAGAGGAAACTAAATGTAGACTGTTTTTAGACGTTTAAGCAGAAGAGCTGGAGCTGGAAGATTGTTTCTGTAAACATGGATTTCCTTGATTATAGCAGAGAATCTCAACTGGGTTTGTTTAGGTTGCTATGGCGATGTTGTTTCCACCAAACATAGAAATTAGCTTGAAGAGTAGAAATTTAGGTTTTAGTTTCATGCCACAAAAATCCAAACAGGACTTCTTTTTGCTTTTTTGAAGAATATGTCTCTTGTTTCCTCTCTTTCATGGAGGCTAGGTTTGTGTAGCAGGCAGCCATGTTTGGTCTGATTCTTTCTATTTTGAGACGAAGGACTAACCAGAGCACTGTGATAAAATCACAACTTGGTTTCTTGTTTAATAACCCCGGTTTGGTGTTGGTGATACGACAACATTTAAAGGAGTTTCATGGGTGTGAATACTTTTATATGACTCTGTAAAGGACTCTCGTCAGATATTATCTATCCCTGCTTCTGAGTTAGTTTTCTAATCAGAGCTAAAGCGCAAGCTTCTATTTTTTTAAATGTGTGCTGAAAACATAAAAGGAATCAGGATGAGTTTGGAGACTGCACTTAGGCCATGTTTTGGGCTTTTCTCTCGTTTCATCAAATGTTTATGAGAAGAAAGCAGAAGCTGAGAGCAAAACTCGCTGCACAAGATCTGTATCTTGAGACAAAGAGATGGGAATATGGAGAGAAAGACAGAGCTGCACGGCACATTCTCTGCCCATTAAGAGCTCTTTTAGCTGCATGTTTTTCTGAAGGTGAGCTGGGTTGTGCTTGTTTTAGGAAAAGTTAGTAAGGTTTACTTTTTCAGGAGAAAAAAGAAAAGGTTTTGCATCCAGTTGGTTTTATTCGGATCAACATGTGAGGTTTTTATTAGTTTATTCAGAAATGCAAAGGTCAGATTTGTGACTTTTGTTTTGCAGCAAGATCACTTCCCAGTAGATCTCTCATGTTTTGGGTATTCCTGTTTCAGACCTTGCCTGAAGCCGAGTTAGTGGCCTAACAGTCAGAGCTGGTGGTTAGATAAGGAAATCTCGCACTGCTCCAAAACTGGAAGCATTGCTGCAGGCAGAGAGAACTCTAAACAAACATGAAAAGTAGTTTTCAGCTTGCATCTTCAGTTTCTATTCACTATTTGCTGTTTTTGTTGCAGTTTTTTTACTTTTGCAGCCTTCCCAATACAGACGGCTGATTTCTGATTTGCTTTATACCTCCTGGGTTCACCTCAGGTCTCCTGCACATGCTGCATTTTTTCCTTCCCAGAGTTAATATCGCTTTCAAATTGCAAATATATTGAAACTTTTAGTGAAGAAGCTCTGTGGATCCAACAGGTGGGTGGTGGTTGCTTGGCAACAGGAGCCAGGAGTGTCTGGCTGGATTCTTGGGTGCAGAACTGAGCTATAACACAGTTAGCCGGGATAATCCACTTACCGACCTGTGCATTAATGCTTGCCTGGATGTGTGTTTGTTTGTGTGTGTTGATCACAGTGGAGACGTTGCAGGCGCTGGTAAATGGCAGCCTGGGGGGAGCAATGGCCAGCGTACACGAGGGGGGAGGCGCTGGGCCGGTGTGTCTGCCCCGCCGCGCCGAGACCTTTGGAGGCTTCGACAGTCACCAGATGCACGGCAGCAAGAGTAAGGCCACACTCTGCATGCTTGTTTACGTCAGATTGTGGAATCAGATTCTGGGAGCAGGAAATCTGCTGAACCCCTACCTGTGTGTCAAGGTTCTGATGTTGCTGTATAAGTCTATTATTATTGTTTCACTGCGAGAGCTGGAGCTCAAACAGCAGCAGGAACCACACCCAACACTTCCCCCAATCCACCTGTTCAATGTCATGAATGAGATATTTTAGAAGCTGCTCAGGAGAGTAGAGCTGAGACTCCCTGGGGGGCGTTGCCCCGAGGGATTCCTCTCAGCTGGTGGCTTAAAAACGGATGCCGACAAACGCATTGATCTGTTCTAGGTTCATACTTCTACATCAGCAGCAGTGATGGGGGAAGCAAAATACAGCAAGGATGCACTAGAAAAATGGTCTAGAAATAAGTAAAAATTGCTTAAACTAAGTGTATTTATCCTTAATTTGAGTAGGTAAATGAGATAGTTTGCCAATGGAATTAGTATTTTTGCTCTTAAAATAAGATAATTAGATAACATGCACTTGAAATAAGACAATGCAATTGTGTTTTCTTCTTTGAAGTGTAAATTGTCTTGTTCCATTGGCAAAATGTCTCTTTTTCCTCAATCCAAGAACAAATGCACTTATTTTAAGAAAAAAAGACTTATCTAGATTTCGATTTTTTCCAGTGTGTTAACTGTGATGTGATATAATTCGGGTATTTGAGAAACCAGAGAGAGAGAAGAATGCAGCAAATAATAAAACTGGTTCACCGTGTCAAAAATCAAAGATGGTTGTAAATTTCTTTCCCACTTCAGTGGATGGTGGAGTCATAGCAGCTGACAAAATACAGACCGCACAAAACAAGTGGAATAATACTTGCACTACATGGAATGTTTATACTCCCTTATTGCTAAGAGACTGAAAGCTCTGTTGGTGCAGCTTACTATTAAAAAAAAAGGATAATTAAATTCTGTCTAAAGTTTTAAGCAGTGAAAATGCGCCAGAGTTCATGGCAAACAAAGTGACCTGACTTAATTAATTTGATGTTATTTTTATGTGAGCTAACTGATGGAAATCGCTCATCTATTGTTGCTATCGTAAATTCAATGTAGTTACCATGCAGCCGATAGGGAATGAAAGAAAAAGCCTTTAATTTCTGCCTTGTGTTTGTATTCAGCCCTCTGGGTAAATATGTTGATGATCCAGATTACACCTGCATTTATTACACCTCCAAATCCTTTCAGGTTTAATCTTCCTACCAGTTTTGCAAATGGAGAGATGGAAATGTTGTCCATTTTCTTTTTGAATCTGATTTCTCGAAGACCATGAAGAGACATTTTCAAGATGTGCCACAAATTCAAATTGCGTTACATCTGGAATTTGGACCATTGCATTTCATTATAATGCTATCATCCCAACCATTCTATCGTTCAGTTAAACTCACTCTATTTCTATAGTGCTAATTCATAAACAGGCCAAATCAAGGCACTTTACAGAGACAGCACAGTCAGACGAGTTAAAGGTTTCTATGAAGGAAAGCTAATTGATTGCATCCAGTCATTGACATGTGCGACATGCTCCTCTTGGATGAGCATGCAGTGACTTTCACTTACATTTTGTCATTGACTCTTCAGCCGTCCTTCACCCCGAGCATGCATGTAGCGAGAGTAGAGAGGAAAAACTCCCTTTTAACAGGGAAAAACCTCCATCAGAACCAGGCTAATTGTGAGCGGCCGTCTACCGAGGAGAAAGAAGTAGACTTACAAAAATGAGAGATCCAAAAGTTAAAGGGCTGGTTATACTCCCCGCAGCAGTTTGTGTTTTTCATTTATGCCCAATATTAAAGTGTAGTCTGCGCTATGTTATTCCACACCACAATGCAGGAGGGACACAAGCTAACTGTGGCGGTGAGGAAGTGGGGCCAAATTTCTGTGACAACAGAGGATGGAAGAGAGCATATACAGTTGGTCACAGTAAAGAAATAGGACTACGCAGAAAGAAATGGTGCCAAATTTAACATCTATAAATAGGGATGTTGATGGTAGCAGCACAGCTGATATTTCTCTCCAGGATAAGTCACAGCTGAGCAGTAACAGACCAGATTAAGCTACCATGACAAGAAAAGGCAGAGAGAGAGCATACAGTATTGGTGGAGCTTAAGCAGAATGAAGCAGAATGATGAAAAGTGGTCCCCATGTCCTCCAGCAGCCTAAGCCTAAAGCAGCAAAGATATGGAGGAATTAGCTCAGGATAACCTAACTATTTTGTATGAGTTATGAGAAAGGTAGAGCTGTCATTGCTCTAGCCCTATGTCTTGTGCTAGAAAGTGAACTGCCTGAAGCCTCTAGAGTTATTCATTTTAACATAATCTTTTCCCTGTATTTACTGAAGCAAAGGATCACCAACCATGACATCAAGCTATTTCTTTATGGGCGATTGTGTGTGTTAGCTTTGTACTAACATATATATATATATATATATATATATATATATATATATATATATATATATATATATATATATATATATATATATATATATATATATATATATATATATAATATATGAGACGAGAGTCATTTCTGCTGTATGTAAATCAAAGAAGTCAGAATGTTTTCTTACTATTTTCAGATGTTCTCTGTCAGAAAGGTAAAGGAGGGAAACAACAACAGTAATGTTTCAGTGAAGACAGCATTGATTTTTGTTTTGTGTAGTTTTTTTTCCTCCAGCCTGGTGGGTGTTCAGCAGCTTGAGTTTGCGGCTGCAGAGCGGTTTTAGACTCTCCCTGCTGAGTCATCTCTATAATGCGATCACCTCCATAGCCCTACTCTGAGAATATCCGATACTGAATAAATATTTTAAATGAACATTTAGCTTCTTTTCCTATCATTTAACCGTCGCTGAACATGTTAACTGCTCCGCACTTATGGTTTCCCACTTCTCGACAGGTGGAGAAAGAGACGAGAGCGAGGACACAGCGGGGGAGCTACGCAGGACAGAGTCTGACAGCGTTTTGAAGAAGGTCTGCATCTCAACATTCAGCTCTTCTTGACTCATAGACAGCCTGAGGCCATGTGTCCTCCTACATCAGCAGCAGCATTCAGATAAATGTTTGCTGCCCCCACCACACCCCTCTGCTGGATTAGCCTCTTGACTCTTCCTGCCACGTCTTGTTGCCACTGACGACCATCAGCTGCTTATCTATCAAGCAGTGGATGAAAGAGTCATGTTTATTACAAAGCTGCTGGCGTCGTTAGGACCTGTATGCAGTTATCCAGCATGTTATATAACTTTTGAGATAATTTATTAAAGCGGGGCTTTGCTGTGATGTTTGACTAAATAAATCCTGGTCTCTAAGGCAGGAGGCTCATAAGTAATGATCTTTGAACAGAGCAAAGGGAAACATGCAATGAGCTAAAGTTAAAAGGATTGTGCTTTATTTCAAAAATACTTGAACTGAGAAAACTGCAGGAGTGCTGTGTTTCCATTCCTTTACAGTTTGATATGACTGCATAGCAACATGTTCAGCATTAAACACCTTATGGGAAAACAACCCTACAGAGCTTTGTGCAGTCAAACACTTTGCACTACATGCACTGGTTTGACTTCACTCAGTCTGTGCTCTTGTTTGTGTGCAGGGAGGAAACGCCAACCTGCTGCAGCTGCTGAAGAGGAACAGTGAGGTAAGGACTTCTTCCTCTCTCTGAATCGACTTAGAGATGCTGTTGGCATGGAAACGTACAAAACACTGTTGTTGTCAGCTTTAGGCTGAAACTGCAGCCCAACCCATACGTGATTTTGCAGCAGCTGTGGGTGTTGCATGAAGTGTTTTGCAGAAAAAGTAAGACAGCAAAAGAAAGGAAGGAAAAAACACAGTTAAAAAAAACATAAACAGGAGTTTGGAATAGAAACTATAAAGAAAATTAAAAAGAAATGCTATACAGAGCAGGTTGTGTACAGCTAATGCCTGAACTACAGATCTGTGATGATGCTCTGCTGCAGATTTTACTGCCACAGCTTTAAAAGCTTTATGAGTTCGCTTTCAAAGCACCTAGTAACATCATATGGATCATATTTGTAGGCTGGTAAACACTCAGCAAAGTAAAGGTCAGTGGCCTGGTTCTATTTAGTGTTTAAAAAGAAGAAAATGTCACGTCCAGAATGCACTGCAGCTTCTATAAACGCTGCAGGACGGTGCCCTGTTCAACCATTCACAGCGCTAGAGCTGTCTCACATTTTGTCAGGTTACAAAAACAAACCTAAAGGTATTTTAATGGGATTTTAGATAGATGACAAAAATGGAAAGGACAAATATTTATTATTTAAGCGTATATTCATGTGTGTATGTTTGTTCTCAGCTGAAAATCAGCTAGATTGGATATGATGAAATACATCCGTCCGCCGGCAGTTTTCAAATCTTGCATTTAAATCAAGATCTAAACTTTTTCCCAGCCATTCTGGAGCATCAGTAGCATCGATCTAAAGTCTTTCATTGTAGTTCTGGCCCTACGTTAATGTTTTTGTTTTTGCTTGTTTGTTTAAACTGTGACAGATTTTATTTTGTCATTTGTAAACACAAATGTTTACAAAAAGAAATTTGTTTTAGTACAGCTTTCTAGACTCTAGGTTACGCATGTGCTGAATAACTTGCTACCCATGAACCTAACAAATGATTTGATGTTTTACAAAATGATGTAAAATTTAACTAAATAACCAGTGATATGCAAATTTTGGTTTCAAATGTTAAGATAAAAATAAACGTATAACATACTGTAATCCTACAATAAAAAATAGGTGGAATGAAAACTATTCAAAATATATTTTTTGAGTTATAAAACTTACAAAATCGATAGTTACGGTGTGTAAGAATGGGTTAAATTACAGTATACTGTTTACTGTATTTTCACTCAACCTCCAAATGACAAAGCACACACAACAGAATAACTTTTAACCAATAAACCTTGTGCACAGAAAAGAAGAAAGTGTTCTCTTAATGGTGAATATTGTGTTACAACAAGCTTGTGTTCATTAAGTGAAGTTACTCACAACTTATGCAGACCAGTTAGTTAAATTCGGTTAATCATATAGCAACGGTCATAGCATCTTGAATCATATGTCGCAGCTAATATACGCAACGGTTAAAATAAGAATCATTTCCTTTCCCGTTGAGTTCCGGGGATCTGTGTGTTCAGCAGGCGTAGAGCTAACAGAACTGGCAGCGTTGCGAGGCAAGGGCTCAAACATGTATGGCTGTAAGCCTTCTACACCAAACCAAGCTTCTGCCGCCCTGGCGTTCTCTTCCACAACATCTTCATCCCCGCTTTCCTCCTCTAAATAAAAAATGTATGATGGAGGAGACTCATCTATGACCTCCGACACTAAACTCTCCTCCTCTTGCATGTTTCCTCTGTCCATAGCGTTCCTTGACAGTGTCGTTTCTAAGTCACCAATTTAGTGCTACTTTGTCCCAATGGAATTTCCCATTGGGAACCTACTAGCACTAAGATGCTAACTGGTTAGCAAGATGCTTCCAACAAACCGGCCACAACCAAACTTGCTTGCGAACCTTCTGCTACAACAACCCCGCCCTCTTGATAAACGACCAATCACATTCACTTTATTCACTCGTGTAAAGTCGGGCACCACTAGGGAGAATTCAGAAATGCAACGGTTTAAACAGCCGCTTCCCTGCGCCTTACAGAGGGTTGGTCAATGCTAAGTCCCTTTTAGACACACCATCTAGTACAGAAAAAGCTTACTTTGGCTTTCCTTCTGACCTGATCTCCTGCTTCCATATTTTTGCTGACTAATGGTAAACTGCAAACAGGACTTCCAGTAGCTTTCCGTTCGCAGGTTTTCCAACAACAGCAGATTTGTAAAGATCAGTCATGATAACTGCAGGATGTTAGCAGGTTGTTTGACACTCATTATGTTCCCTTGTTCTAACAGCAGGTCCTACACAGCGTCTCCAACCTGCATCTCCTGCTCAGCACTCTGCAGGTACGGCTTCTCCTGAAGTCTGCATGTGCAGGATTTATTTCAGAAATAGAAACATGATTGTAAAGTTTTAAGTTGTTAATGTACATTTTAAGAAGTTTCTCTTTGTGCAAAAAGATCCGATTATAAATATTTTGATAACAGTAAAGAATCATCTTAGAATTTCATGAGTTAAGTGTCTATTGTGATCGTTGATGCCTTGTGGGTCTCAGGCGGTGGTGGTCCAGCAAGACAGCTACATCGAAGACCAGCGGCAGGCCCTGAGCGAGCGTTCCTCCTCGTGCTCGTCCTTGTCATCACGGCAGTCCTCCCGTCCCAGCTCCCTGATTGAGCAAGAGAAGCAGCGCAGCCTGGAGAAGCAGAGGCAGGAGTTGGCCTCCCTGCAAAGGCAACAGGCTGCTCTCGCCGAGGAGAGGCGGAAGAGGGAGAAGGAGTGGGAGTTGAGGGAGCAGCAGCTTTCTGAGAGAGAGTCGGCAGTGCACTCACAGGTAACGATGCATCATCTTCCCCCAGCCTTGTTCTCCATTAGGTTCTAAGCAGGTGTAGTTCTTTATATATAACGGCTGGCGTTTATTTTTCAGCAGGAAAATAAATGCTGAGGGAGTCATGCTGGAGTGCTTCACAAGCTGCAGGGGGTTTCTCTTCGTCATAACACAATAAAGTGTGAAGTCTTTTGCATAAACTAGTTTTCTTCACTGCTTTGTTGTTTATCACAGGCGACCTTAGTTCCTTGAAATTTCATCACACATTTATTAAGCTTTTACTAAGATCATGAGGAAAGGTGCAAAGTAAACTTATCAGAGATACAAATCTCATAAATTTTAGGGGAAATATGATTGGTTTTGGGTGATAGGATTTAGCTGCTTAGTGTTTTTTCAATGAAAGTTACACATAAGAAAAAACGTTTCAGGTCTTATTTGCTGCAACACCAGGCTTAGGTGTTGCATAAACCTTCATATCCCCTAATCTGTGAGAAAAGTTTTCAGAGGCAGAAAAGTGCCTGGACCTTGAGGGGGGGTTGAAACGGCAGAACTTGAGAATTGCAAGAGTCAAGGAGGGGCTGGAAAATGGGCGAAAAAACTAGAGACTTTGTAGCAAAGCTGCTGACCGATGTCTTACAGTTGGATGAAGGACCACTGATTGACCAAGCTCATAGGGCACTACGAGAGCGCCCGGGTGATGGTGAACCACTTGATTGTCAGGGTGCACTACTGTCATGCCTTCAAGGAAATTCTGAAGAAAGTAATCCAGTCTCGAAACCTCACTTATCAAGGCGAGCGAATTCAGCCGCGAATTCAGCCGCTGTGCCCCTTTCACCGCAGCCAGAAACCTACTCCGTTACAAACACAGAGACAAACAGGACATACAACCATTCATGCACAAACTCCCACCTAAGGAGAATCTAGAGAAGCTAATTGACCTAACATAAGACATAAGTAGCAATGAGAATAAATATGAACATTGTTGATCACTAAACAAGAGCTAAAGCTTCGCTTGGATGTGAGTACATTATTGTACCCCTTTAAAGGAAATAATATCGACTTAAAATGTTAACTGTCAAAACCTCCTAACCAGACCAAATCTGTTTTTCTTTTATTGATCAGGCGTTGCTTTCCATGAACTGGATTTATTCTTTACTGCAAGTTAGATAGAAATAACTGAAATTAACTATCAGGGGTTTAAATGAGTCAAAGGGTCGTTCCGACTACATTGCTGTGCATCAGCCACTGCAGCTTTGTTCATGTCTTATTAGCTGAGAACACTCTGAGGCATGTTTGTCTTTAAGAATTTCCATACATATGTCTCTCCACCACTGCAGGAGGAAGAGGTGCAAAAACAACAAAAGCAGCTTGAGGATGAGAAGATGGAGCTGCAGAGCAAGAAGGAAGAATACCAAAGAGACCTGGAGAGGCTGAGAGACGCCCAGAGGAAGCTGGAGAAGGAGAGGGAGGCTGTGCAGCGGCAGATCCACAGGATGGAAGAAATGCGGCTGTCTGAGGTGAGCAGGGATGTGTCAGAGACGGTAATTATAACATGAATGCTGCAGGAGAGCAGCCTCTTCTGTTAGCTTGGAGGCTACAGGTGAGCTAGGATGATACTTCAGCACAGGAAGCTGAGGCTTGAACTCACATTCTCTGAAAAGTGTATAAAGATGCTCCAGGCAGTCCAAACAGATTATCATTTACTTTATTATACTCTTCAGGAGCCAGACATTACTAAGTCTAATTCTCCTTCCTCTGCTTCCAGAGAACACCCTCCACAACGTCCGACGAATCCCTGTTCCTCGGCAGCTCTCAGTCCCTGGAGCTGGACCCACTGGAGCTCTCCTCGTCCTCCTCCTCATCCTCCACTCTCCCCAGGCTGCAGCCCCAGCGCTCCAAAACCAGTAGGAAGGGCCTGAATCCCTTCACCTCGTCCTCTGGCAGCCTCAAGAGCAGCGAGGCCAACAACCAGATCTCCAAGGGCTTCCTGCAGCTGACCAAGACCAAGAGCAAAGACGGGAAGAAGAAGAAGAAGAACAAAGGTGGTAGCGCGCAGGCGGCAGGTAGGGAATGGTAAATGATTCCAATAAATTATTCAGTGTGAATCTGTGGGTTGTAGCGGAATGTTTTACTGTCAAAGGCCCTTCTAGTTAGAGGCAGCGTGTTTGGTTAGATTAGAAAGGATGCATGGATGGATGGATGGATGCATGTATGTATGTATGGTTGGATGCATGGATGGATGGATAGTAGGGATGGGACGATTTATGAAAACCATCCGAACCGTTCGGTTCGACTGTCTCGGTTTGATTTGCGTGTGTTTCGTTCGGTTAATGCGCTGCTCCTTTTTCTCATAGGCGAAGCGTTTACACTCCAGAGCAGAAGGTGGCGGTACTGCGACCAAAGCCAACCACCAGTAGTAAACAAGAAGAAGAAGAAGCGAAGCAGCTTAGCCGGGTGTAGCAGGGAAAAAAATCCGTTGTTGTGGAGAATTGTGTCGGAATGGTGAGTGGGAAAGAACAGGAGTTGGAAGACGCGCCAGCAGCACTTTATAGGTCTGCTGTATGGGAGCGCTTTGCATTTAGAGTGACCTACGATGACGGCGGAAAGAAAGTTGTGGATAAAAGTGCAACAGTGTGCAAGCATTGTGCAACACGTTTTGTTTATGCTAACAGCAACACGACCAACATGTCATGCTAACCCCGAAATCCCTCATACTCCGTCAGCGCTCCGCCCCGCTGCGCTCCAGACCGGCTGCTCAAAGCAAAGCCTACAGCCTCTACTGGGGCTTCGTCCGCTCCCCTCTGAGTCCCTTGGAGATGTTAGAGAGCATGCGCGAGATGATTAAGTTCAAAGCAGCAAAACATACGGAAATGATTAAGGGTTTCCGCGGATCATTTGAAATAATTACAATCCAGTATTTTTTGGGGGATTTTTTCATTAATTTCATAAATTTTTATGGGAATTTAACAATCAACATATACCGAATCGAATCGAACCGAAAACCGTGACCACGAAACCGTGAATCGAACCGAACCGAGGATTTTGTGAACCGTTCCACCCCTAATGGATAGACGTACGGACGGATGGATGGATGATGGATGGATGGATGGATGGATGGATGGATGGATGGATGGATGGATGGATGGATGGATGGACGACGGCTGCATGGTTGGATGGATAGACGTACGGATGCATAGATGGATAGATAGATATTATGAATGTAAAATTAGTCTTCAGTCTGCCTCAGAAAGAAGATGTAGTGAGTAAAGCCCTAAATAATTGTGTCAACTCAATATATTCACACAATATGGACTTTTAACAGAACCGGACAATTAGTGAAATTTTCCTTTATCAAAATGTTTCAATGATCTTCCATCGATCCACTCTTTGGGCTTCAGTAGCTCAGAATGACATCACGTCATCCTTTTTTGTTCTTGGATGTTTAGGTTGGTCTATAATAAGGCAGCTGTGTTCAACATGAGTTCCTCAATAAAAACCCGCTGTCTCTTAGGCATCCTAAAGAATCCTCATTTCAAAGAGAGGGGGTCAAAGATCTGTCTTTATTTGCTTCGACCTAATGAAATGTTTACAGGTGTGGAAATGATGAAAGGGAAAAACACATTCACTTGGAAATCTCTCCATCTAACTCAAAATAAAAGATTTATAATAAAGATTGATTTATCTTCAGGATTTTTACACATCTTCCCATAGGGTCCTAAAAGGTTTGATTTGCACTGTTAAAAGTAGTGGTAGCTTCATGAAAATACTGCAAACATGTCATGTGATGTGATGTGTTGGCCTGCAGCAAATGAAATCATTTTCTAGGTTTCCCCCAAATCAATCTTGTTTTTTTCTATTGTTTCCATTCCTGGCCAGCCTTGACCCCTACACTACGTTCATGGTCCTTACTGGACTTAATGAGGCGCATTAATTCTCTTCATGTATACTTTGAAAAACAACCCTTAAGTAAAGCAGACAGAGGGACTAAAGGTAGAGGGATCTGTTTGGTCCACATGCATGTTATATTTGCACAGACTACAGCACAGCCAACAGAGCTTAGTTAACGTACAAAATAATTTATTCCAGCCAGATCTAACTTTAAAGTAATCTTTTAATTTGATGTGTATTGTTTTCCTAAATGAAGTAAAGTTCTGAATGTACACTGGAAAAACAATCTAGGAATGAATATTTCTTAAATTAAGTGTATTTACCCTTAATTTGAGTAGGTAAATACGAACTTTAAACAAGACAATGCAATTGTTTTTTCTTATTTTAAGTGTAAATTGTCATGTTCCATTTGCAAGATGTCTTTTACCTTCTCAATCCAAGAACAATTGCACTTATTTTAAGAAAAAATGACTTATCTAGATTTAGATTTTTCCAGTGTAATACGGTGCCTTCAACCTTGTATCTGATGGAGGAAGCTAAAGATTAGGGTGATTGTAAAGAGACCTTTAAAGGCCAATTTATGCTTATGACGCATAGCCTCAGCAACCGTCAAATCTGTCTCTCAAAAAAATCCTGACTACGTGTCGGAAGGTCGTAAACTCGCGCAGACGGAGAAGTGGGCAGACAAAAAGCAGCTGTGATTGGTCCTCGGTATGCCTTTCCGGCTGTCTGTGTGGTCTTCCTTCTCGATTGGGTTTCCGGCGCGCCATTTTTAATATTTGAGGAACAACTACAATGGACAACCTATGCCTCCTTTGTCTTTTTGCCAACTCCATTAGCAGAACCTGTTCCTCTTCGATGTCTAGCAACTCTAGATCTATCTCCGTTACCGTGATAACTTGCAGAAGCGCCATTGTTGTTTTGGAAGATAAACACTCCCGTCTGTGCCGCTGAAGTTCTCGTGACCATCTGCCCAAGTTCTTGCGAGTTCTCGAATAGGCTCCCCCTTGCGCTTTGGTGGGAAACTGCTGTGCTTCCCTAGAAATTCCAGATCGAAGATGCAAAAGCATAACAGCAAAACTGGTTCGTGACCAGACCCAAGCCACATTTGATGCCCTTAAATCTAAAATCCTTGGAGATAATCACCGTAGATAGAGCGCCACAGGAAACAAAGCCAACTTTGATACCTGTGATAAAATAAAGATGATTGATTACTGAGAAGTGTTTAAGGATATCCAAAGTTCCTTCGTTTTTGGTTGAAATACAAATAAAAACAGATGCCTGACAGTGAGAAACTAGTGAGAAACGGATATCATGGTTAAATGGAAATAACTGTACATCTAAAACGGCCAGAGGTATGGATAGTGGTGTGTTTTACTGTATTATAGACATATATGCTGAAGTTCATTAATTGCTACTAAATTTAAATGTGCTGGTCTGGTTCTTTTAGAATCTTACGGTCAGCAAAAGTGTATCTAAATACATATATTTTAGTTATGCAGTTTTAAGGAAAACAGGCAGGTTTACGGGGTAATTCTTTTAGTGAATGAATTCAAGGAAAAAAAAAACAATTTGCATTTAAGATCTTCTGCCACCAGCAGCCATCTGTGAGCAGTTCGATCAAAATCAGGACTGCGGAGGCTTTGACTCGTTTCATCCTTCTGAGGAGGATAAGCAGGGGATTTCTGAGTGCCCAGAACAAACAGGGGGGATGGCTGCATCAAAGTACAGCTTCGTCAGTGTTCACACAATAGCTTGTTTTATCCATCATCGAGACGCAAGACAAACGTGAACTACACAGACATTTATCACCAAATGGTTCTGGGTTTTAGCTCTATCAGAATGATGAGAGACAACACGCCGTAGGACGCTCATCTCTCAACCGCACACCTTTTTCTTCTCTCTTTCCACAGAGACCTGATTAGTATTTCATACGGGTCGCTGAGGCGCTGCAAAGATTTGTTGCAGGAGTAAATTAGTCAGGAAAGTAAATAATTCAGCTGTCCTACATTTCAGGGGGAGTAGCAGCACCCGTAGAGCCTAAGAAAGTCTTTAAAACGAACTGATCTGTTTTGTTTTTATCCTACCTATTTTCAACATCCGTCCTGTGTTTACAGATGAGAAGCACAAATATCACAGAGAATTTGGTACTGAAAGCTGCGAGATATGTTAGAGCGCAAATACGTTTGGAGATGAAGCGATGGCTGCGATATGAGCGGTGAACATACAGCTCCCTGAGGCAGCCTGGTGACACTTCTTTAATGGATCTCTGTGACAGTGCAGGCAGAAGGAAGGGCCCAGAAATCCAAATCCTGACAGTGACTCCTCTCTTCTCCTCTACTCCCTCAGACACTCAACACGTTCCGGAGCCCCCCATGGACGGAGAGATCTTCTTCTGCTAAGGCGCAGTGCCGTTACCCCCTCCTGCTCTTCCTCTTCATCATCACTATGAACGTGTCGCATCACTCTGGCACCTGGAGAGGAATCCTTTCTGCACATTTGACTGTTGGAATGGTTTTGCTCTAAAGAAGCACCTTTAAGGCTTTTCTAAGCTGGTACTGGTTTTCATTAGCGTGATTCCCATGTTATGTTTTGTTGAATTATCAGACATAAAAAGAAATAAAATGTGCTGCAGGTTCTTTAAAAGATGTAGACGTTTTTAAATCAAATGGGAAATAAGAAAACTAAAAGATTTCTGCAATTTATGCATCAAAGCAACAAACCACTGCTTTTATTCTGTGCAGAGTGGAGGATTTTAGGAGTTTTGGTAAATTTGCAGGTCTGAGTGTTTTTAATTCTTCAAGCAAACCTTTAGAGTGTTTTCATTTGCAGCAATCAGACAGCTTACTGTGAACATTGCATGCCCCCCCCCCAGCTTAACAACCTGCATCGGAGGCTCCTCTGCCTCTGTGCTCCTGCTCTGCGTGCTCGGATGTGGAGGGCTGCTCGTTTCCCATCGGCTAGACCTGTTTCCAGGCGACTTCTGCCTCGCAGCGCAGCGACACCCAGTCGATTCACAATGCCACTCAGAAACAGATTAGAATATGAGCTGACTCTGTGAGGCACCGGAACGTCCTCGACGCTAATCACATTCATTAACAGCTAATTGAAGACTGAAACCACTGAAGGGCCCCTCTGTTGTCCTGGCAACATTTCTTTATTGCGGGAGCTCAGCGCTGTCCCTGTGTTTCACTCCCACATCCGCCCTCACACAAGCAGCCCGAAAACAGCATTAGATTACAACCACTCTTTTTTTATCGCCACCTGATTGTAAACAAAATGGCGAATGATGAGTAAACTAATCCCCCCCGCCATGACTTTCCACCATCCATCATGATTCCTGATGAGGTTTTAATTTATTTAAATGAGGTATGTCTCCATTTTGGAGTGAAACTCTTCAAACTTCCACAGTAATGAAAGGATTGAGACACGTATTATCTCTCCATGTCAAATGGCTCAATTCATATCCTTTTAGTGTGTTGTAGAACCTTGGATGGATATTAGCTTGATCCTCACGTTATCCGCCTGTCGATGAGCATTTATGCAGCCCTCATCTTTCATCCGAGCCCAGACAACGGGAGGGGAGGGGGGGGTCCTTTCCTTGGTGTTTTAATTGCATGTAACGCCGCAGGTAGCATACTAATGGCTGCTGTTAAAGAGTTCAACGATCTCTTTCTTTTCTGCTCCTTTTGGCTCTGATTAAAAAGTCTGCAGGCAGAAGCGGCCGACGGTTTGAAAAAGTGAAAACGGTTGATAAAGAGAGGGACGAAATATGCCTGTTGATTTTAACGGCTCAAACCTTTCATCATTTCATGTAGTTACTCAGTGGTTTAAGGACTTTGGTCCCAGAACATTAATACATCTTTTTTTTTTTTTATTGTTTTTATTTTTATTTTTTTTTAACTCAACAATGATCCAAAGAGAGGTGATGCATTTAAGGTCAGAACAGATGCAGTTTTTTTTGTTAAGTTTGGGTGTTAAAATAAGAATGTAGATTATCTGTGCAGATTGTCCGAATGTTTTAATCCTGTGGTTTAGACCTTCAAAGTCTATATTTTAGGCTGCACAGTTACCTGCTGGACAGGTAGGAAGCAAAAAAAAAAGAAACAAAGGTAGGTTTTGAGTACAAAAGTACAGAAAATGAAATAAGGTTTTGCAGTAACGGAACCAGCTTTGCTTCCTCGCTGCCTCTTGTCTTGTGTCGAAGCGCTTGTTGGTTAACTGGCCTGTGTCTGTGTGCAGGATTTGACTTCATGTCCAGGCGGGGTTGTTATAGTACGTCTTGTAAGAGGCTCACCGTGCCTGCCAATTACTTGCTTCATGTCCTTTGTTTATGGATTCGGTGTAATCCGGTCACAGACACAGAGGAAAGGGCTTTTTTTTTTTTTTACTCACACAAAAAAAAGTAAGTGCTCATGTTTTGACCACCAGGGAGCACTGCACCTATAACTAAATAAACATCCCCCCTCCTCCCATTCACAGAACCAAAACAAGAATAAAAGAACAAACATGCTTCTTCCTGTGGGTCTATACTGTCCCTGCTGTGAGAAATTGACATATTTTTCTCAGCGGGTCATCAGCCTACAGAAGATAATGTGATGAGCGTGGGCTCTCACGCTCTGTGACATTTCCCCCTGCGGCATTTGTAACTGACTGAAGGAACAAATAAGTTGTCAGATTGTAATTGGTTATTCAACGCAGGCAGTCAGCAGTAGCTTTAATGTAAGTGGGGGGGGCAGAGGTAGAGAAGCATGTCTGTGCCAGGGACAATCAGCAGATGCAATTCAGGAAAACAAGCTCCCTCCCCGACGATGATGAGCCTGTCCGTGAGACGGGGGGGGGCGGGTGCATCAGGTGAAGCCCGCGTAGCCTTAAATCTTGTTGATAAAATGCACTAGAGTAGAAGCCAGCGTCTTCTCAGGACAGAGAGGAGAGCTTTTATACCTCTGCTTTCAATCGAAGGAAACGTTTGTACTATATAAATGGTACACTGTTCATTCTCAGCATTGTATAAAGAAAAGGGCAAAAATGTAAATATGATCAATGTATAAAACTAATCGACTGTAAAAAAACGAAACAAAAAAACAAAACAAGAAATAGTTTGATTTGTGATTTATTGCAGCATTTTGTAAGAATGTTTTATTTATGTATTACCCTTGTCCTGGGGGTGGTGAACAAATGTAAAAGCATATTTCTCTCACAATAATAATAAAACAAAAATCATAACTCAGTAAATGACCTATTGTGTTTTTTTTTGTTTTTTTTCATTATTTTTCTGGTGAGGCAGAGAAGAGCTTACCTGCTGTTAGTTTTTGCTTCAGTAAGCGATTAGGGACAGATCTATTTAACTAAAGCCTGAAGGTTCAACCCACGTCTCAGGCTTTATTAACCTAAAAATCACTGCCTACACTGGAAAAATTATCTAAAAATATGTAAAAATTTCGTACATTGAGTGCGTTTACCCTTAATTTGAGTAGATAAATGAGGTGGTTTGCCAATGGAATTAATATTTTTACTCTTAAAATAAGATAATTAGATAAAATGCACTTGAAATGAGACAATACAATTGTGTTTTCTTATTTTAAACGTAAATTGTCTTGTTCCATTGGCAAAATGTCACTTTTACCTCCTAAATCCAAGAACAAATGCACCTATTTTAAGAAAAAATTACTTATCTAGATTTTGATTTTTTCCAGTGTAGTTTTAATTATTGTTTATAAAAAGGATTTATTTCTGTTGCTGCTTAAATACTATTAAATGTGATATATTTTAGGATGATTTTGTCAATACCTAGACTTCAGCAAATATAAAAGAAGAAAAATCACTAATTTAGAAGTTTTGTAGTCCCAGCCTTTACCTATTGGTGACAACAGTTATATTAAATTATTAGCTGATTACTAGCCTGAATTTAGCTGCTGAACACGTATACTGCTCATAGCGCAGTCATTTGGGGTCATTTGGCCATTTTACCCATAGGCTGGTGATAGTCTGGGTACATCCTGAACAGATGGAACTCTTTATGAAATTTGAACTTTTTATTTTAGAACTGAGATTTACATCGAGGTTTATCCTGTTGGTTCTTCACATAGTATATTGTATTCCCTGCTCTTCTGAACACATGCACAAATGGGGCGGTGTTGGAGTCTGGATTATATTCTCCACACCACCATATTGTCTCTGATATGAGATAAATATTCTTAAAAATTAGTTAGAATATGAATCCCTTTATTGTCCCACAATGGGGAAATTGTGGTGTTACAGCAGCAAAAGGATTATAGTAAAAGTGGTCACATAAATGTGGACTTTAAAACATGTATAAAAATAACAAGTTTTAAAAGAGTAAATACAATACTGTACTATGTAGTGTTTTTATAATATACTGTGCTTCTTGAAAGATTTAACATATAGCTGTGGACATGGATATGTGAACAAAAATAGCAACACCAGAGATGTGCAAAAATGGCAGCAGCATGTGATTTAACTAAGGTAGAAACTGCGCAAAATCAGAATAAATGTAACAACTTATTGAGGTTGTTGGGAACAGTGGTGGTTCTAGAGTCTTTCAGCTGCTGGGAGGAAGGATCTGTGATAATGCTCCCTGGTGCATTCAGGGTGCAGCAGTCTGTCACTGAAGGAGCTCTCCAGTTCAGCACCAGCTTCATGCATGGGGGAAACATTATCCAACAGAAATGTTAATTTAGTTAGGATCCTTTTGTTTCCCACCTCCTGCACGGAGTCCAGAGGGGATCCAATCACAGAGCTGGCCTTCCTGATCAGCTGATCCAGCCTCATTCTCTCAGTTACAGGTAAGCCACTGCTCCAAAAGACGGCTCCATGGAAGATGGCAGATGTCATCATGTTGTATTGTTTTGAAAAAAAGGGTATTATGATTGGATTGATGTTATGATAATCAAAAATCCTGAAATCAAACTTTTATTCTACCTACTGTACAGACAGACATGTCAATAAAAATTCCACTTTATACTATCTACAGTACCATACTACTAGGTGTTGTCTAATCCCAGGTGGTGTGTGCAGTACATGTTATTTTTTATTCCAGTTTACACCATGTGTGCAACAAAGTACAGACACATAATCTACAGTAAATACTCTACCTTGACTGTTTATTACAAAGTGCAAACGGAGGAATTGCATTTCCCACTAAGGACAGAAGATATTAGATATGTAGATATATTTACATATATATATATATATATATACATATATATATATACATATATATATATATATATATATATATATATATATATATATATATATATATATATACTTATATATGTATGTATATATGTATATTTATATATATATATATATATATATATATATATATATATATATATATATACTTATATATGTATGTATATACTTATATATGTATGTATATATGTATATTTATATATATATGTATACTTATATATATATATATATACTTATATATGTATATATATATATATATATATATATATATATACATACTTATATATGTATATTTATATATATACTTATATATGTATATATATGTATATATATATATGTATATATATGTATATATATATATACTTATATATGTATATATATGTATATATATATATATATATGTATATATATGTATATATATATATACTTATATATGTATATATATGTATATATATATATATATATACATATATATTTATGTATGTATGTGTGTATATACATATATATTTATGTATGTATGTGTGTATGTTTATATATATATAATTAATCAGCATGAATCTGAATGTACTAAATAATTACAAAAAAATAGAAAAAATACATAAAAAATTATATACATTTAAAACCAATTATTTACAATGTACGGTGTCTACAAACATACAACCCTTTAGCTGATAAGTCAGACCAAACTTTTTAAATTAAACTGTTTCTTAAGTTTTCAGACATTTCTTTGTAAGTCGTGCATTTTTACATTTTTAGAATTCAACAACCATTCAATGGTACAATTACAAACCAAAATGCTTTATTTGAATTTGAACATTGTTGAGGGCTAACATTCAACATAATCCAAAATTCATTGGTACACTATGTCTGTCAGTGAGATGTTTTGTCATGTTGACAGGAATATCGAGACATGTGTGATCAGTGCTGCAAAACGATGTGTAAAAACTGAGATGTGAAGGAGTAAGTCTGCTAAATAAATAAATATTCTGAATTAATGATTCCATCACACCCTGAAGGATGATGGAGGAAGAAAGCTGCTGTGCTAATCTTGCAGATAAGTCTGCAAGGCTTGAATGAACAATGAGAAACAGCTGAGAGTTCATGGTGCATTCTCAGCTTAATGCCTTTATCTTCCTCAGATGGGATAAATTTAGCATTGTGGAGCTTAATTACTGGCATGTGATAAGTGTCTCAATCTGTTTAATTGATAGTTTTGAAAGCAGCTTTGAGTCACATTATAATGAAACAATCAGTTTAATCAAATCATCGTCTCTTCTAAAAAAAACTGATCTTTAACAGGACCTCTGTTCAATCTGAGGACCATTATCAGTCTGACCATAGATGCAGATAATTATGTTTTTTTTAAACCTATATCAGAATGAGGTGTCTGTTAAACCTAATTTATTAAAGCTACTTGAAGTTAAAAATATCAATCACAAATATCATATGTGCTCAAATTAGCAAATTAGAATAACAAAACTACACATCTATTAATTAAGTTAGATTTCTATTTATTCCTTTTTGGCTTTAATTAAACTTATCCTATGCTGCAATCTGCAAATTAACTCAGATCATTACAAAATAAAATCTGCTGTTGTTAACATGTAAAGTAAAATATTGATTTTTTTTTTTTTATTTAATTATTGTTTAGGAATTGTTTAGAAACCTCCACAAGTTCCATTCAAGTCCTCTTGAATTTCCAAGTCACAGTCCGCTCAATAGCTCCTCAGGATTCAACCAAGTCTAAACCTGTCTGCCCTCCAACAAGTCTCAACCTCTGGATAAACCCACACTAACTGGATTCTGAGAGAAGAGGTCTTCTCAACCAACGTGAATCCTGTTTTCTCTGTCTCCCCAGTCATCGCTCAAAGTTCCCACAGATTCTGAACTAACCACTGATACTTCCCTTCCCTCTTCCTGTTCACCAGCACAGTTTCCTGAATCCTACCCGCTGTCCTTATCAATAAACCTGTTCAAAATATTACCCTGGTTCTCTGAGTAGTTTACTGCATGTGGGTCAGATCTCTCAGGAAAATCCTGATTTTATATATATATATATATATATATATATATATATATATATATATATATACACTATATTGCCAAAAGTATTTGCTCACCTGCCTTGACTCACATATGAGCTTAAGTGACATCCCGTTCCTAATCCATAGGGTTCAATATGACGTTGGTCCACCCTTTGCAGCTAGAACAGCTTCAACTCTTCTGGGAAGGCTGTCCACAAGGTTTAGGAGTGTGTTTATGGGAATTTTTGACCATTCTTCCAGAAGCGCATTTGTGAGGTCGCACACTGATGTTGGACGAGAAGGCCTGGCTCTCAGTCTCCGCTCTAATTAATCCCAAAGGTGTTCTATCGGGTTGAGGTCAGGACTCTGTGCAGGCCAGTCAAGTTCATCCACACCAGACTCTGTCATCCATGTCTTTATGGACCTTGCTTTGTGCACTGGTGCACAGTCATGTTGGAGGAGGAAGGGGCCAGCTCCAAACTGTTCCCACAAAGTTGGGAGCATGGAATTGTCCAAAATGTCTTGGTATGCTGAAGCATTCAGAGTTCCTTTCACTGGAACTAAGGGGCCAAGCCCAGCTCCTGAAAAACAACCCCACACCATAATCCCCCCTCCACCAAACTTTACACTTGGCACAATGCAGTCAGACAAGTACCGTTCTCCTGGCAACCGCCAAACCCAGACCCGTCCATCAGATTGCCAGATGGAGAAGCGCGATTCGTCACTCCAGAGAACGCGTCTCCACTACTCTAGAGTCCAGTGGCGGCGTGCTTTACACCACCGCATCCGACGCTTTGCATTGCACTTGGTGATGTATGGCTTGGATGCAGCTGCTCGACCATGGAAACCCATTCCATGAAGCTCTCTGCGCACTGTTCTTGAGCTAATCTGAAGGCCACATGAAGTTTGGAGGTCTGTAGTGATTGACTCTGCAGAAAGTTGGCGACCTCTTCGCACTATGCGCTTCAGCATCCGCTGACCCCGCTCCGTCAG